AAAAACTAGAGGCAAGAGAACAAGAGAGTAAGAGAGACAGGAGGGGGCAAGCAGCTCCTTTTATAGTGGGCAGGCCTACTTTGCTGTTGCCAGGTAACTGTGGGGAGGAGCACACCTAGCTGTTGCCAGATTACTGTAGAGGTGGAGTTTAGACAGAATACTAATGGTGCCCAGGCACATATGCAAGCAAAACATGCATACACATAAAGTAAAATTTACTTTTAAAATTTCAATTGAAATAAATATATGGGTTTATCTCTGGAATGACTCTATTGTCCATTGCTTCTCATTTTATGTTGTTGGCCTTGGCTTTATATATTGTTTGAAAATGAGAGAATATAATGCCTCCAGCTTCATTCTTCTTGTTCAAGAAATTTTGACTATTTGGGGCCTTTTGTGTGTACATGTGAATTTAGGGATTTTTTTTTTCTTTTTTAAAAAAAATGACATGAGGAAATTGATAGAAATTGCATTGCTTTAGGTGGTGGTACAGATGTCTTCACAAAGTTAATTTTCTTAAGTCATGGATGTGGGATGTCTTTCTATTTGTGTTTTCTTCAGTTTTCAGTGAGGGGTGGGGCCAACTAAGTACAGCCTTCAGTCATCAAGATTGCCCCAGGATACACCTAGACCAGGGATATCCACATGACCTTTGGTGGTAACATGTGCAATGGGCTACTTCTCCTTCTCTCCCAATTCTCCACCATATACTTGTTCATCTTAATAGCAGCAAGCCCACCACCTGCTGCCATGTGATGACAAGCCTCATGTATATGATTTTGAGGTCACCTGAAAAGTTATAAGTCTTGTGGTCTTGTTTTACAATCACACAAAGCTTTTTAAAAAAGAATTATTTATTGTATGTATATAAGTACACTTTAGCTGTCTTCACACACCAGAAGAGGGTATCGGATCCCATTACAGATGGTTGTAAGCCACCATGTGGTTGCTGAGAATTGAACTCAAGACTTCTGGAAAAGTAGTCAGTGATCTTAACCATTGAGCAATCCTCCCAGCCCGCACACAAAGTTTTTGAAGCCACTCTTTACATTGCTATGCATAAAGCAGGGGATTTTACATTATTATTTTTCTTTGTTTTTCAGATCAAGTATTTTGAAATGCATTTTAGACATTGTGAGGGATAATGATTAAGATATTAGAAATAAATTATTTTATAGAATATTTCTCATGACTCAAACTAAATTTGAAACGAAAGGCTTATTGGCCATTTATATAGAAGTCTGAACTTAAAGAACCTAATATTTGACAGTCTTTGCCTGGGGCCTCAATCAGGCTTAGATTTGAATCTTGACTTTGAATCCTGATTCTGTACTTTGAGCAAGTAGTTTAGCTTTCCTGAGCTTTAGTTTCCTCCTGAGTAAAAGGCAGATAAACAACATAAAATAAATACTATGAACTTTTCTTATGCCTTAGACAAGATAACACCTACAAAAACACCTAGCTTAATGACTCTCCTGTAATAAACAATGAATGCCCTCTTTTTGAAAGATTTTGTTTTATTTTATGTGTATACGTGTGCTTGAGAGTATATTTTTGCATCACATGGATGCAGGAACTTGAAAACACCTGAAGCACTCTGGAATTAGGGAAATCTGAAGATGCTATGGAATTAGATTTACAGGCAGTTGTGAGCCACTGTGTAGGTGCTGGGAACGAAACCCAGATCCTCTGCTAGAACAGTTGGTCTCTTGACTACTATGGCGCTGTCTTTCCTGCCCCGTATTCTACTTTTTTTTTTCTCCTTGCCACTAAATCATCAGTTCTCAAACGCTAAGCTGTTTATTCCCCAACTCGGGGTCTTTGACATGTTTAAAGGGTTTTTATCATCACAGTTATAAAGTGGATACTACTTTGGCATCTACCAGTTACTGGCTATGGATGCTACTATGAATACTTAGTGTCCAGGTTGTCCCATGCCATAAAACAGCCAAGAATTATCTGAACCAAGTTATTAGAAATGGTAAAGTTGGAGCAATCTCGCTCTAGAGCAGTGGTTATCAAGCTGCTACCAAAGGGTTTTGACTCCTTTGGGGTCTAAGGACCCTTTCACAGGAGTTGTCTAAGACCATTGAAAAACAGAGACAGTTACATTACAACTCATAACAGTAATGAAATTACTGTTATAAGGTACCAATAGAAATAATTTTATTGTTGGGGGTCACCACAACTTGAGGAACTCTATGAAGGGTTGCAGCATTGGGAAGGTTGAAAACCTCTGCTCTAGAGAGTGCTTGCTTCATATCAGACGCATGCTGGTCATTTCCCCCAGGGACTTCCTAGAAGTAACGTACATACTAGAGTTCACATGAATTAATGATAATGGCTAAATAACAAAAGAAAATTACTTGCTAGAATGTAATACATATAATGCCAAGCTTTGAGTTAAGGTCTGTGACATGTGACTGTTGCACTAACTACTCATTTTACTGTCATACGATTCTTCTTTAGAGACAAAAGTGTAGATTTTTAATGGGTAACTGTGCTAACAGTTTATGTTATCAATGACTTGAGGATCATAATCTTCTCGTTCTGTTTCTGGCCTTAACAGCCTGTGAAGATTCCATATCATTTAAATTACGTGAATTATACTTTGGAACCACCTCTTTGTTTTCCTCCCCATTAGTTTACTTTGGGCTCCTATGTATTTTCCTGAGTTAGAGTAAATCCTTCCTGATTTATCACCTGCCAATACACTATTTACCTAGACATTTTCTTTTGACATCAAATTGGATGATATGTTCTCCTGTGCCGTGTCTTTGAATAGGTTCCAAGCATTGTCCTGGTCTGGCCTTATTTCTTTCCTTTCCATATTATCTCTCTTATTTCAACACACAGGAAAAAAAATCTTGATAATCCTGACCATTAATGTTAATATTCTTGGGAAAACCAGAATTCTAAAGCTTAGGTGATGGGGTCAGGATGGGTAACATTCTTTTTATATGAATTAGTAATGCCAGTGAAATGAGCCTCAACTCTTCATGGGTGGCTGTAAATATGTATTGGACAAGTGACTGGAAAGCATCACAGTGTCCACTGGTATGTGTTTCCCATGCTGGCGGTTATTATTAGAGCAGGGCGTGGTGAGGGAGAAGGAACGAGGGCAGTGGATTCCAGCTTGGAGCCATCACGAAAATCAGAAAGAGATGGGAAGTCAAGTGGGACTCTTCCTTCCCTGCTCGGGATGGCTCTTCCTACCTGGGGAAAGCATGCTTCCCTCTGGCCTTTATGAAGCTGTGTAGCATTTAGTGATTGTTGACTGAGTGAGTGCTTGCATGATCTGGTAGAGGCAAGCCTGGGAAATGAGACGAATGGTATATGTGCCTTTTATGGCATCATAAATTGCGAGAGCTGCCAATATAAGAAGTTGAAAATGTGTCATGAAAGCAGCCTCCATTCTTTGGATGCAACCTAAAAGGCTTTTTTGAACTAGAGTCTATGTAACTGACTCTACTCATTAAATGGTAAAACCGGTCTCTCTCACCAATAACAGTTTCTAGCTTTAGAAAAATAAATGTATTCTTATGAGCAAGTTTTTCTATATTTATAAAGCATGAAAAGCTTGATCAATAATTATTTCACAAGGACCCTCTCCCTAGAAATATACATATGTGTTATATATATAATATATATAATATATATATTATATAATATACATATGTATGTATATAATATATACATATATTTATGCAATAGGAACACAGCATAATCCTATATTGAGGCATACATATATATAAATGAATCATATGTACATATTTTATAAATACATATAAAATATACATATAAATATATATACATATATATACATATATATATGTGTATATATGTATCTATATATGTATATTGGACTTATATTGAGCAGTAAAGCAAATAGTCCTAAAATTAGTTATCTGTTATTCTTAAAATATATCTTCATCTGCCCTATGCTCTACTATGTCTTACCATAATTTTAAAAAAAAGTCAATTTTTTTTTCAGAGTTACAGTGTTACTCTGGAGTAAAGGCACCTGCCTCCAAGCCTGATGCTCTGAACTCCATTCCCAGGACCCACACTGTGGAAGGAGAAAACCAAGTTGTCCCCTGACCACCACCCATATATTTAGGCACCCATATATGTGTGCCTAAATAAAGTAATTAAGGTGGAATAACATTTTTTAATGAGATTTCTAAAGTAACAGTGTTCTCTTTGCAGATGACACAAGACCTTCTGACACACGGCTTAGTACTGAGTACCGATATCATTCACACACACGCACACACACACACACACACACACACACGTATGGCACTTTACAGTACGTCTGAGAAATTTTCAACAGGATTTTTGCCTTTTTGAATTTGAAACAAACATTTAAAAGTAAGCTATGGGATGCAGGGCTGGAGTGATGGCCCAGTGATTTAGACCGCTTGCTGCTCTTGCAGAGGACCTTGGTTCAATTCCCAGCACCCACACAACCACTCCAGCTTCAATGGGATCCAGCACCAGACACACAAGTAGTACACATACATACGTGTAGGAATGTCAAAGAATGCTCTGTAGAAAATCTCCTGGTTTGTGAAAATGCACTATGGCATGGTTTCATAGGATTTGCTGGTCTAGATCAGAAAGGTAATTAATGTGCCAGGAAGAGAGGATGTGGGGGCAAAGGGAAACTGCCACCCAGGCAGATATTGGTGTGGCTGTGCATTACATAGAGAGCCCCAGGCTCACAGTGACAGATGAAAGGCTTGGTGTGGAAGCCCAGGGACACCGCCCAGAGCACAACTGGGGAAATACTGTTAGAAAGAAAACCTGGAGGCAGGAGTTTAGCTCAGCAGTGCTCAGAAAACTTTGTTGTTGGCTTGGTTAAAGACACTATATCACACAGTTATGAAAAAAAATATAGTCCAGGTACAACTTGTAGCCCAATTCAATAGTAGTGGTTGTTAAAGGCCACACTTACGTTGTCTTGTGATTAGAAATGTATCATTCTTCACTTTCAGCTACATGGAATATCATTTTTAACTCGAAACTATTGTCTGACTGAGCTGTATCTGAACAATAATGCAATATTTGAGATAGAAGGTATGTTTCAAACTTTCTTTGCTGATTGAATGAATTTTCAACTAGATAATAACTATCAATTGTAATGATTACTAACAACATACAAAAATCGCTTCCATCATGTTTTCTAAAATAGGTACTATTTTATGTGACCATAAGTACACTTTTTAAAAAGTTACACCATGTTTCTAGTTCAATATTATGTGTCTTGCTCAAAATTTCAAAGAAGTGTTTTTATAGTTGCACCGGTCTACTGTACAGTTGGGCACAAACTAGCTACTGTAGAAACTAACCTTAGCAATATTTAGGAGTAAGAATAAATATAGAAGCTATACATCGTCTTAAAATTTTTTATTAGCTGTGATTTTATCAGCTGAGTTCCTGTTTCCACTAACTTGATTTTATAATAATCCTATGCTGACAGTTTCAAGCCACATATAAAAGTGTATCAGGAGACACGACAGGTTGCTGGAGAAAGTACTTGACTTTAAACTATCATATCATGAAACCAAAATGTCACAGATTTTTAACATACATGATAAGCTCTTATACTGTTAAGGAAGAAAACAATCTAATTTAACTATGATGTAATTATCATACAGATTCACCCCATTTTCATTTATGTAAAAAAAATGAACTAAAATGTGCAATCCAGGAGAGCAAAAAAAATGAAATAAATATATGGTTTTCCATTCAACAAATGGCTGAGCTATTTGAAAAGAATACACTGAGTGGACTGGACATCATTTTTTGATCTGCATTACAATTCTAAGTAACATTGATATGCAGGCACACATATCACAAAACCGAACAAAACGAAGGAATGTAACTCAAACTGTAAATTAAAACAAGCAAAATCATTACCACAGAAAAACAACCAACATGTCAACGGTAGCAAGAAATGACTCTCCAGCCCCACAGGACAGTCCATTTTTATTGCTATATGCTTAACCACAATTCAGGATATTATTAATGGATATTTCTCACCAGCTATAATGTATTCTCTTGCTTTAGTTACAATATCTAATCACTGTTTTAAAAAAGTATCTGCATTTGTCAATTTAAAAAAAGTAAATTTCATCCAAAAATATTGAAAACTCTGCAAAAATATATTTGTCTTGTAGGTCTGCATAATTTGCCCTCGCTGAATATTCTTCTGTTGCACCACAACGAGCTGACAAACATCGATGCTACTATGAAGGAGTTAAAGGGGATGCAGAACCTGAGGACCCTAAGTACACACTGCACTTATACGCTAAATATACTTATATGCTTCTATCCTATAAGCTAAGACAGGGATAGCACAGCGCACTTGTTTTCCCTCCTGAAGCTCAAGCTTAGAGAAGTGAGCTATGCCACAGAATGCATACCCTGTTCCCTAGAGCGTGACTAGATTTTATTCTTTTTTAACACACACTTTTCAAAATGATTACTTGTAGAGTAACAGGCCATGTAACATGAAACCGACAAAAGTCACAAACAGGCGTGTGTGGACTGAAATCTACTCTTTTTTGGCTTTAGTACAAGTTGTATCATTCATATTATAGGGCTATCCCTAACTGGTACATCTGTAGAGGCAGAGGTGAGAGGGTTGCCATTTTTGAGTAGGATTGTATCCACTCAGTGCCAGGAGATGAGAGAATCCTGGTTGATGGGTGATATGGAAGGGGTATGGCATTTTGAGGGGAGTGATAAGTGTTTTAAAGTTGACAGTGGTGATAAGTGGTTCAAATCATTGCATATAATGAATGTTCATGAATTGTGAATTTTAAGTGGGTAAACATATACATAAATGTATAAATATATATATGGCATGAGATATATAGTAATAAGGTAAGTTAGCAAACAACCAGACTGTCGAAGATTTCATATATATGAGAACAGCCTTCATTCACATCTATTGAGTTGTGTCCAGCAAGACACTGAATACTGAAATGAAAAGCATTATATATATATATGAATAGATTAAAAATGGTCAATGTGAAGTTCCCCTCCCAATAGGCTATATCTCAAAGGGTTAATGAACACACTCAACTGCAAGGCCGGCAGAGGAGTCCAGGTGTCACAGATGGAAGGCCTTGCAGCCTAAGCTGAGAGACTTCTGCTCCTCAAGATACAGGCATAGTCTCTTTTTCATTTTTCAGAGCTGCCTGTGTCTGTGGAAATGGGTATTGCTGGTGAAGGTTCTGATAAGATCAGCATGTAGAGGGACTAAGGCTTCTGCAACTTCTCATTATCAGGAGTATCTCACACGCTTAAGGAGAAATGACTCCAGCAACTGAAAGTAGACTTTTAAAAATACAGATAGTAAAAAAAAATCACCAAGTCCTTGGCAGTCCATGATTAAAGATGTGCTAAGGCCATCTACCATTAGTGTGACCCGCGTGTAATTGTCTCGCCAGCAAGACCACACTCGGGCACCAGGATCCTTCCGCAGCAAACGTTTATTCCAATGAAAAGGAGGAAAGACCCCGGCCCGGAAGAGGCACTGTTTATATACCCTTGGAGCGGCGTGTTCACTTCTGATTGGCTGCTTACTACCCGCCAAAATGCCCCGGGATGGGCTGTGACTTTGGCACTTTTTTACCATAGCACATGCGCAGTTTACTTGTTTACTTGGAGGAGCACCGGATGCCAGCGCCATCTTGTAATGGCAAATGCTGTCAGCACAAGCCGCGGCTTTCCACACATTAGGAATTTTCTGACTTCTGATATTCCATCAGAGACTTGGATAGGCTTGCCTATTTATCTAATCCTTTCATGCCAATCAAATATTTTCACAACTACAGGAGTATGTTAGGCACAGACCTCTTTTTTTTTTCTATAAAACCCCGAATCTTCAAACACTGAGATAACTCTCCCAAGCAATTCTTAAGAACAATCTCTTGTCGCTGATGTGAGTTTGAGATAGGAAAACCAAACTGTTATATATGTAGGGATGTAAATCAAATAATTAAGAAGCTGCTTAGTCTAGAAACTCTGCAAAGAGGCAAAATAGACACAATACAACTGGTGCTTTAGATAATAACCACCAGGTGTCTGGTGTCTTTCTGGTTAAGGTAGTGTTCTCTTAAAGTGGTGAAGATACAAGGCTCAGAGAGTTACCAAAGTACTAGTACTGAAACACATCCATGCCTTGTTTTGTTGACCTGATCATTCATTGATTAATTCATTTGTTCCATGTTTGTAATTTATTCATTTTGTACCCGGGGAATCACTGGTTCGCCATCCAATTCTGTATTGATGCCAAAGTTGAAGAAGAGAAATCTGATCTGGCCTCCAATCTGGTTTATAGTTTTATAACTAGAACCCTAACTACTTAGGTTGGTGAAGGAGCTTGGTGCAAACCTGCTTGTACAATTTGCTGTGTGTAAAACTCAATCACTTAAGCAAACTTTCACTGTAAGACAACATACAGAGAACAGCATGATATGTTGGCTTTAGTATGAAACAGGGATTTACATTGAACCAAGATGCCTGGTTCAGAACTGAAGGTGCCTGAAATCCAACCTGGTCCTACTTGTCAGAGGTACGTCTAAGCACACAAGTGCCCTGGCTGGTCAGGATTAGATGTCTACACTCTTCAGAGGCCAGTCTGGTGATAAGACATCCGCGTTATTACTTGTCGTGACAGTTAAAATCACCTCTACTTAAAACTATGATGACATCATTCAAGTTACAGTAATGGTAACTTCCCACCTGAGAAGTTTGTCATGGGGTCATTTCCTTGAATTCAGTTAAAAATGAAAGCTCTTTCTGGAAGTGTGTGGTAGCATTTGACCCCGTGGCCCAGTCTGGTTGCGGACATTGCAGGAGGAAACAGTTTGCACTAGGGAGATGCCTACCATTTGGGCAGTAATGTCCGCATGCTAGCTTCTTAGGAGCCTCGTTTGCCATCTGAGGGTAGATTCCGCTCATCAAACTGAAAAACTATGCACTGTCAAAAGTTATAACTCTTCTCCAGTAAGAAAACCATGTAAAAATCTAAAGTGTTATGACTTCAGTCTCAAGTTCTTCTGAGGGTGAGAAAACAGCCCTGGGCTAAGGCTCCAACCCTTTTCAGCACTGCACCCTCCTCTGGCATTTATGAGAAAAATTGCCAGCAATTGCCCATGAGACAGAGGGCTGCAAGCTTCAGGGAGGCCTGAAGCCAGCAGCAGAGTGTGAGGTCCTGGTGCCTGGAATTCCTGTCTTCCAGGCCAGGCAGGGCCCCACCTCTTCTCTCCAGGAGGTCTACCTCTCCTCACCCTCTCTGTGCAGGTCTGTCCTCCTCTCTCCTTCTGTCCTCCAAACTGCAAAAGGAAATCTTCACAAGTCTCAGCCCACTGCACCAGAAATGAGTTCCTCTCCCCGTCGGTCTGTCTGCCCCTTTACCAGCATGTTTTACTTAGGATTTCTATTGCTGTGATCATACACCACGACCAAAAGCAAATTGGAGAGGGACGGGTTTATTCAGCTTATACTTCCACATCATAGTTCATTACTAAATGAAGTCAGGACTGCAACTCAAAGAGTGCAGAAACTTGGAGGCAGGAGCTAATGCAGAAGACGCCCTGCTCCTCAAGGCTTGCTCAGCCTGCTCTCTTTTAGAGCCCAGGACTACCAGCCCAAGGATGGCACTACCCACAATGAGCTGGCCCTTCCCACTAATAAAGAAAATACCCTGCAGGCTTGCCTACAGCCAGATCTCTGGAGATGTTTTTTTTTTCTCAGTTGAGGTTTTCCTCCTTTCAGGTAACTCGAGCATGTGTCAGGCTGCCATAATACCAGCCAGCACACAACAGTAAGTGAAAACCATCAACAAGGTCCTTGCTCCTACACTTGCTCTGAAAGTTCTCCATTCCACTAAATACACTTAGCAACTAGTGTTTCATCACAAAGACCTTCCTAGTGGAGCCTCAGAGCCTTATCTCCAACATTCTTTCTTCTTGACATCAGCAATGTCTCTTCTGCCTTTGACAAAGGGGAAGGGGAAGGAGGACACGGGGAAGAGGGGTGGATCTCAGGGCTTCTTCTGAGTCTATCTGTAACTCCCTTGAGGGTGAGTTGCCTCTTCCAACAAGACTATCTACCAAGCAAAAGGAGCTCCTAGGTCTTTCCCAGATGCTCATATGAGATAGGCAATGTTCTGCTCACTCCACTTTCCAGCTCGGCTGTATCCCAGTTTTCCTGTCAAGTAAAGGATGTTTGCCTTAGTGTGTTGTATGGTAGCCCACAAATTTCGAAGCAGAGAAGGCTAGCAGGAGAGATGGTGATCCAGCTTTGTAGGATCTCAAAATCCACATGTCTGATTATTAATAAGCAACCACAGGGTGATGGTTTTAATTCCTTCGTTATCATTTTCCCCATCTATTAAAACTGATGTGTTGATGATATCCCTTTTCCCCCTTTGAGACAGCGGCTGACATCTAACTCCAGCTGTAGCCAAGGATGACCTTGAAACTTGTGATCCTTCTGCCTCCGCCTCCTTTGTGCTTTGATTACAGGTGTATATTACTACACCTCTCCTTATGTAATACTGAAGATTGAACACAGGGCTTCATGCTGGGCAAACATTGTAGCTACTGAGCTACAAGTCCAGCCTATATCAACTTTTTTTTTTTCTAAAATGTTTTAAGAATATTTGGGTTCTTGAGCTGGAGAGATGGCTCAGCTGTTAAAGACCAAGGGTTATAAACAAAAAAAGACAAGGCTATTTGTTTCCATGAGGACTTTTAAGTTCTGCTTTAAGGTTTTTTCGTTTTGTGTTTTTATTTTTTTTTTTATCAACAGGAGCCAATTATTTAGATGACTATATCGTTTTCTGTCTTCCTCTTGTCGTTCATTGAGAAAGCTCCACACGTGTGACTCATCTAACGCAAGTTGCTGCGGCACAGTGGCAGAGACATTGTGATATATTATTGGGTAACTGTAAATTGCTTAGACTTCTGACTTCCAAATGAAGATAAGCAAAACAGTGCTGGCGCCACTGAGGTGTACTTCATAAGTAGCCTGGAGGGAAAGGTGGATTAAATAGTATTAACCTATTGAAAGCGAAAGTGTAAGCGATTTAGCTTCGGAGCTGCTCCAGGAATGGGCCATACATCACACACAGCTTTCTGAACAGTCAGACACAGGAAACTGATTTCATATCTCAAAAAACTTAATTTATGGTAATTTAGGGACCAGCCATCCAAAATGCATAAATCCCAAATGTGTAATACTTAACTAGCATCGGGAGTGGAAGGAAGGGGAAGCGTGGAGAAAGAACTGAAAATAAGATTGCTTTCTTCGAAAATGCAAGAGCTAGAAAAAAAGCGGAGGATAAGGTTAAACTATTCTTCCATATTATTTAGTTTTGATCTCTGCCACATAGTTTCCGTTTGAGATGAGATGGGCAATACACCACCATGAGCATATGCTTTTACTACCCAGAAGCCTTGCTCGCAAGCAGTGTTGACGCTCTTCTGAGTGTGGCGCTTTATTTAGCTGAAGTTAGAGGTAGCTCAGAGAAGTGCTTGCCTTACAAGCATGAGGACCTGAGCCCTGTCCCTAGAACCTATTGAAAACTAGACCGTGGTGGTGCATGCTTCACCACTAGTTTCAGCACTAGGGCAGTGCAGAAAGGAGGATCCCTTGGGTCCCCAGACTAGGCTAATTGGTGAACTTCTGATCTGTGGAGGACCTGTCTCAAAGGAGGTGATGGTGATACCTAAGGTCGTCCTCTAGCCTCCACACACAGGTACACATGCTTGCACTGGCACGGGGCACACACACACCACACACACACACACAAGCATAATGAATGTTTAAGAAAAAAATATTTGAGTAGAGATTAGGAGAAAATTCCAGGAAAAGAAGTGAAATAGTAATGTTCTCAGAGGTAAAGAAGATGTGGACCACCAAGAGTAAACACCCATTGCTGAAAGATGCTGCCCAGGGGCTCTAATAAAATAATAAATAATAAAATAATAAAATATAAACGGCAGGGTAGGGGGATGAGGCATCAGCTCTGATTACATAGGAGAGTCCCTAGGAAGCTGACTTGCATTCTAAAATGCTGGTGACCTTTTCTTCCCTCAGAATTCTCTCTAAAGCTAATCGTGTTTCGCTTTTATGTCCCTGAGGAGTGGCTGGAGCTATAGTGTGATCTCTGTGGGCCTTTTCAGATTGGTCCTTGTTTCTGGCTTGATATGCATCTATGCAGTTCCCTCTTCCATATCAACAATTATTTGTTCTCCCTTCAAGTTCCTTTAAGAGTCAATGTTAGACCTTCTTCCTGTCATTGTTACTGAAGTCTGGAGTTTTTTTCCTTTGTCATTTTCCCAATACATACCCATCTGTCTGGCCACTGCCTCTACCTTTCCTTATTCCTTAACTCGTATCTGTTGTGTAGCGGGTCCCTGCCATTGTTACTTCATCTCCCCTTAAAGCTCACATAAGGATTCAACTAGCCTGAAAAGCTTGTGTGGATCAAACCCGCATCTCAATGTCTCAGTACTGACAGAGAATACATCCAGGTATTGTTTTTCTTCGATTTTTAATGAGTCTGTTGTTTTTCAAACATGCCTCTCCGATCTTCTTTATGTTGCAAACTAGGCATTCTAATTGTTACTCTGATGTTCTGGGCTTCTGATGCTTGATATTATCATCCCTTTATTAAAAGCATCTGTGTTTGATGAATAGTCTACAGAGCAGTACTCTTAAAGGAGTAAAGGAGGCACGTTTCTTTGGGTGGCACAGCTGGGTGGCAGCTGGAGCCCTTCGCTCTGCTGCCATCTAGTGGCTTCCCGCTTTATGTGTTTTTTTTTCAGAAGCATTTCAGATGCCACACTGAAAAAAACAAAAAAATCACACAAACTTCATTTCTCATTTAAAGTTATCAGAGAATGAACAAGTAAAATATATCACTAGGAAATAAAACACGCAAAATTTCCAACCGAAACATTTTTTAAACGTCCCTCCGTGCTGATTACAAAGGATGATTACTTCAGAAGCATCGGAATCTGTACCGCTCCCACAGGCCCCTTCCTCCCTCCCCACCGCTGTCTTGCAAAGTTAAGTTCATTACCCATCTCTTAGGCACGCTCGTCTTGCAGAAGGAGGTTAGAGGAGCCGTAGCATCCGCATCAGTGTAGCTCCTACTGAGATCTCCAAGTGCTACTGGTATGGGCATCCTCTGAACATAAGAACAGTGAGGTTCAGGAAGAAACCTTTTAGGACAGTGCACTGCATCACTGCCTGTATCCACTCAACACCCCCCACCCCAGGCCCATTACCCCTGAGACCAGAATAACTCCAAGTGAGATTTTGTAAAAAGCAGCCTCGAGACTTGCATAGAGCTAGCATCTTGTTCTTCCCCTGTCCAATTTACCTATGGACATTTAACGGTTTCCTCTTTTTGTGCCAGATCTGGGTGAACCTTGTGCTGTTTCTAATGGGCAATAGCAAACAGTGAACTTTGACGGACTGAATCCAACAGATAGTAAAATATGTGATGCTCTAAATAGGGAAATGCATGCTGACTCAGCCAGGCAGCAGGCACAACTGCTCACCCTGCAGTGATTATCCCGGTACTGTTCATGAGTCTTCATCTTCTGTCTTCAGAGGTGGGAAAAGGAACTATCATGAAATCTGACATCTTATTTTGTATTCTTCCTTTGCAGGTCTGTACCAAAACCCTTTATCTCAATATAACCTCTACCGTTTGTATATAATCTACCACCTTCCGGGACTGGAGCTTCTCGATCGGAGGCGTAAGGATGCTTTAGGAAGAGAGAGAGAGAGAGAGAGAGAGAGAGAGAGAGAGAGAGAGAGAGAGGAGGAGAGAGAGGAGAGAGAGGAGAGAGAGGAGAGAGAGGAGAGAGAGAGAGAAGAAAAGCAAGGCAGGACACCTCATGAAAGAATATTTTCAGCTAATTTGTTTATGTGTGTATATATTTGCTTACGTGTTTGTACATGTACTACAGGCATGCCTGGTGCCCACAGAGGCCAAAAGATGTTGGATCCCCTACAACTGGAGTTACAGATGGGTGTGAGCCACCTTGTGGATGCTGTGAATGGCAGAGCAGCCCTAACCACTCCTAACCACTGAGCCACCTCTCCTGCTCTTGACGCCACATCAAGTGCTCTAGACACTTAGATTGATTGACCGATTGATTGATTTCTCTCTCTCTCTCTCTCTCTCTCTCTCTTTTCTCTCTCTCTCTCTCTCTCTCTCTCTCTCTCTCTCTCTCTTTCTTTCTTTCTTTCTTTTAAATTTTTGTTAAGACAGGGTTTCTTCATGTAGCCCTAGCTGTAGACCAGGCTGGCCTTGAACTCACAGAGATTAGCTTGCCTCTGCTTCTCAAGTACTGGAATTAAAGGTGTGTACCTCCACCATCAGGCTCAACACTTTGGCTTCTTATCACAAAAATGATAAATAAATCTTTTAAAAATATAAATTCTAAAAGTCTTCTTTGAAATTCTGTAAGATCATATTATTAAAATTGACAGACTCAACAGTGACTTCTCACATGTCTATTCAACTGTTCATATATATGTGTGTGTGTGTATGTATGTATGGATGTATATGTTTATGTATGTGTATGTGTATATGTATATATGCTTTCCATTATGTACTTTTGAGGCCTAATTCACACAAGTACAATATGATCTATCCCTTATCCCATTATCTTTCTAGCTGTAAAGACTATCCTTTATCCTTTATGGGTTGTTACTGTGAAAGTCTGCCCAGAAGGATATAACCAGACCTGACTATATCTCCTTTCCAACAGTGATGAGGGAATGCTGAGTGTTTCCTCTTGTCATGTCACTCATGTGCTGACATATCCTAGGAAGTCTCAGGAGTGTGCTTGACCACAGGATTGAGCTCCACTGTGACAGGAGGACATCTATCGAGTGCTTGTGAGACTGGATTAATGACTGAAATCTGTTCACATAATGTTTCAGCAAGATTGTCATACATAAGTTAAACCTACTTCTGTGCGTGTGCGTGTATGTATGTTTGTTGGAGCAGACTTGTATGTTGATGGATGTGCACACATGTGTGCATGTATATGGTATCAGAGGTTGGCCTTGTCTTCTTAGATCTCTCTCCTCTTCATGTATGGAAGCAGGGTCTTATCTAAATCAGAGCTCACAGATTTGGCTGGTCAGGCAAGGCAGATTGCTCAGATATCACCCTGTATGCTTTTGTTAATTCTAAATATTATTTCTCTTTTCCCTTACCAGAAATTACAGAGAAAGAGAGAAGATCGATGATTACCATTTTTAACCATAAAAAAGCTCATGTCATTCAATCAATAGCATTCGGGAAAAGAGTGGATGCCTCCTGGAACCCCAAGTTACCAATAAAGCAAAAGCGGGTCAAAAAACTTCCCTCAGGTACAGTGTAACATCCAAAGTGAGAAGAAAGCTCAGTAACCTTTAGGAACACTTGATTGTGATACTAGCAGTAACTTTCCTGTATAGTGAAGTATCTTCTAATTAATTTCCAATATTGCATCTTAACTTCCTATTTCCCCCGTTGATACAGTGAATAATGTAATTTTTACTTTCCCTCACCCATGCTACATGACGCAATATGGTGATAGTAGGGGATGCCCTGAAGCCCTTGTCCAGTATCCAGGGAAGGACAAAAATAAAAACATAAGCTGTCATTGTTATTACCAATGGCAGTTTTCTCAATAAGGGTAGATTGTTTTATGATGTAGGAAAAATATTAAGAAGAAATGAAGATCATTTGCACTTGTACCAGCCAGAAATTAGCACTGTAATATTTTGGTTACACTCACATCCAGGCTGTTACATAGAAATATTACAAATAATTTCAGTTATGTTTCATTAGTTGGCACATATGTTATGTAATGTACCCAAACAGATTTCTTTTTCTCACATAGCAAAGGACACAGGAACAAGGTAAATGGAGTTAATGTGAAGTTCTGTGATACTGGAAAGAACCTTGACAAATTTATCCCTGTCATGTAAAAGCTATGATGCCACACTGGGACAAAATTAAAACACAAATTGGAAAAAGCATTGCAACATGTAACAGGTGGATGCTGATCCTCACAATCCCTGACAGGCTTTCAGAGTTCAATTTGTGTAATCCCTGTAGGAGAGCTAAGGAGGATGCCAGGCGCAAAGTGCTGGCCTAGCACGCCCCAAGGAGGTTTGATCTCCAGCACTAACAGTGAAACAAATCCAAAACAGAAACTCCTAGCAGGGTATAGCACACGATGTAATCCTGAATCAGGACATCTGAGACAGGATGACCATGTGTTCTAGGTCAGCCTGAGCTAAAGAATAAGATTCTGTAAAACCAACAAATAAAATCAAGGAAACTCACAGTGGACTGGAGAGATGGGCAGTGAGTCACTTGTTTGCTGGACAAACCTGAGGCTCTAGGTTCAGATTCCCAGGACCAACCAAAAGCCCAGAGTGACAGCATGTGCCCTAACTCCAGCTCTTGGGGAGAAAGGCAGTATGGAGACAGCCAGATCCCCAAAGCTCACTGGCAGTTGAGCTGAAAACAGTCCCATGAGAGACCTTGTCTCAAGGATAAGGTGGAGAGGGATGTAAGACTAAAGTGGCTTCTGGCTCTGCCTATGCACAGACAAGGTGCGTGTAGCTACCTACACACATACATCATTTCCATCTACAAACATGCAAGTGAATGCACCTACACACACACACACACACACACACACACACACACAATTAAATCCAAATAAAATAAAACTCCAGTAGATGAAATGATAAGTGACACAAACAAGTCCTTTCTAAAAAGTAAGAAATGGATACAGTAAATAGCTTCTCTTATTGCCAAAGAAGTGCAACCCAAAGCAATAAGATAGTATTTTCATTCAACATGGAAGGAAAGAAACTTTAAAGGATAAAAATAAGAAAATAAAAGCACAGTGCATGCTGTTTATGAAACATGAACTAGGTCAACTGCTTTGGAGATCATACTGCAGTACCTTTCAGCATATAAAACATGCAAGCTATTTGACATAAGAATGCAATTTGAAATCTCTTCTGTAAGAACATAGGCACACATGTAAGAAAAACATGAGCCTGATCTTCATGATACCTTTTTATAATAGTAAATGCAGAAGAGACATCTGACGGTTACTCATGGGGGAAATATTGCATTACCAGACATTCAGAAAATACAAACTATCCCAGTATAGACTTATTCCATGATATATTTGTAGTATTTAAAAACATAAACTTGTAATGTAGGGTTGTAACAGAGCAGTGTGTGGAGTGTATGTCATGCATGCACATGACTACAAAGGTATGCATACCTGTGAGCACAGCTTAGACACTAGATCAGGACACTGGATGTCTTCCTCTCTTGCTCTATGTGCTCTCTGAACTGGATGGTCACCATTAAAACTGCAGTGTCGCTGGTCAGAGGGAAAGAGGAGAAGATCTGGGTCAAAGCTAAGTTCCACATGTGCATGGTAACCCAATTCTGGAGATCTAATGTAACATAACTATCTTTAACAATCTGCTAAAATATGCACATCCCAAAAACAAAATGGTAGCTGGGTGAGATGCTAGACATATGAACTATGTAACTGTGTATGTAATATGTAACTATGCTGTTATTTCACAATGTGTGTGTATGTGTGTCAAAACATCTAGTAGCATATCATAAATATGTATAACTGTTACTTTTCAATTATATCTCAATAACACGATGGAGAGAGAGAGGGAAAGAGCCTGAGTTGAGAAGAAAGAACCGGAGATTTGTGAAAGGCATGATGCCACAGGCTCTTGGCTCCCTCCTCTCTTGTGGACTGGCAAGAGCTCACACTGAAGGCTTTAGTGACCCAACAGGTGCAGCTAAGTTCTGTCTTTGGCCTGGCACCAGGCATTCTGAAGAGGAATAAACAAAGCCATGGCAGACTGAGAGATACCCCAAGAGCTCCAGGCTATGGGGTCTGGCCCTTCAACACTAAAGCTCTGGAAGATGGAATCTTGTGATCTGGGATTTGTTTATTCTTTCTTTGAAGTTCATGCCAAGAGTCCAAATGGCTGGAATGGCCTTAAAGACTTGTCCTGACTACTCATCAGAAGAAGTTTCCTCCACGTATAAACCTTGCTTATAAAATGGACAACCAGTTGGATTTCCTTGGTAGCTAAGCTGAGTCAGCATACTGTTCTCAGGGCTATGAGATTAGCCGTATATTAAACAGTACCTCAAAATCTAAAGCAAAATGCCTTACCTATTGGAAAATTTCAATTTTGTATGAGTTATAAAGGCATATTTTTTTTTTTGCTAGTGTCCTTGAAAAGTCAATAGTAATCCTTTTTTTTTTTTTTTCTTTTTGGTTTTTCGAGACAGGGTTTCTCTGTGTAGCCCTGGCTGTCCTGGAACTCACTCTGTAGACCAGGCTGGCCTCAAACTCAGAAATCCACCTGACTCTGCCTCCCAAGTGCTGGGATTAAAGGCGTGCACCACCACTGCCCAGCAATAATCTCATTTTTAAGTGCCAACCAAATGTTTGAAAAATACTAATCTGGAATTTTATTTTTAGATTTTGCATTCGGGGATAATGTTGACAAGTAAGTGGTTTTTGTATTTGTTTTTACTTCTTTACTTTTATTGACAAACTGTTTTATAATTGTCTCATCTTTAAATTATTCATATCTTGTAAAATAGATTTTAATTAATTAAAAGCTATTAGCCTTTCAATAGATAGAAAAATGGTTGTTCTTCTTTGACAAGTGAGTCCCAGCTATGTGTTCATATGTGACATGTTCAGGCTTTTAATGTGATTATTATAACCTCAAGTAAGTGAGCAGGTGATTAGATTCATAAAATATTAAAACCTGTTAAGAACTATTAACTATTCCAAATGAGAAACTTCGTTTGTCTGCTTTGCCTCTAAATATCTTCAGCAAAGTCAATTATCATATAGATGAACATTTTCCATCCACTAGAATTTACATTTCCCAAAGCAAACAGTTCATTAATTCTACAGAAGACATTTCAAATTCATGAATACTAATGAACTTTTAAACCATTATTTTTCTAAGTATGAATGTTTTCTTTAGATTCAATGTTAAAAAATATTCTCATAATATACAAAATACGTACAAGAATAACTTCAAAGTAAAATGGCTAATACTAATGTGCATGATACCAAAAAAGTATTTCCAGTTTTGTTGTTTACCAGTTTTCCACTAGGAATACATGAGCATGTGAGACTTTTATAATAGATCCTTTAACATATCCAGATGCTCCACTTTATAAATAAACCATGCACACACAATAAAAGTTGTGTCCTCTGGCCCAAAAGTCATGTCAGTAAAGTTCACAGTTTTGGTGAGAATTTATGCAATTTATTCATTTAAATAAAAACTTCAGGGCTTTAGGGGTGCTCCAGAGATAAGCAAAGTACTTCCCTAGGAAGCATAAGGCCCTAGTCACCCGACTCCACACACACAGTCACACGGGAAGTCACGCTGGTCAGACACTTGTTTTTGATAGAATTGCTACCTTTGCAGGACACTGTTTGATGACCCTGAAGATGCTGTGTTTGTAAGATCCACAAAGAGGTCGCTGATGGCCTTTACCTCCATGAACTGGGACACCGTTCTAACACAAAGTGAAAAGTTTGAAAGGAAGAAAAAGAATGCCATGGCCGAGATGCTCATGATTTCCCTGCGGTAGCAGCACTTCCGGAAATCTTGGTGCTGCTCGCTTACAGTTAAAACACTCCCGCAATTTATCTCCTTATACATTTGTTGCTGAAGTTTTAAAATAGAAGAATCAGTGGCAAAACATGTTTCCTACACTATAAGTTTCATAATGTAAAAATTTTGTACGAGTTACCCGTGTGTAAAAAATAAAGCCATTTTTTTCCTCCCAGCCATTTACTTTCCAACAGTAATGACTCTGAGATTACTTATTAATAAGTGCCTAGCCTATAAGCTTCACCTTGTTCTCTGACTTGCTCTTAACTTAATAACCCGTTTATGCTAACCTAGGTTCAACTACATGGTTGGTTTCTTCTCCTTATCTTCTTACATCTGTCTCCTCAAAGTTCCTGGGGCTAATCTCTCTTTTTATTTTAATCTCAGTCCATTTTCCTGCTGGTTTACATGTCTCCTCAGTGTTCTGGGGTGAATCTCTCATGTCACTTACTAATTCCCAGAATTCTCTCTATCCCTGATGGAATATCTTATTTCCTGCCTCAGCTCATTGGCCGTATTTTTTTATTGACAGGTGATGCTTATAAGAGATTTTCTCTACACTGATGGATATAGAAATATAAGTAAATTCTAAGTGTAAACCTCAACACATTTTCCCCAAAATATACAAGGTTATGTAACTGGCACTATTGATCAAGTAAAAAAGCATTACCAACTGTCTCAAAGCCCCTTCTTCCTGTTAGGAGGCACTGTCCACACTTCCATACTAACCACTGTCCTGACTTCTAGAGAGCAAATTAATCATGTTTGATTGTGAACGTCATATAAACGCAGTCACAGAGGATGAACACTTTGTGTATGGCTTCTTGCACTTGCTGCCCCAAGACAGCTGTGCGTTGTTTGCCACAGTGATGGGTGATGGTTCTGTCTACCTCATTGCTACACAGCAGCCCCTCAAAATTCAGCTAGCCAGTACACTGCTTTCACATCTCTGGGACACTTGCCAGATCTGGGTGGAGGCTAATGATGTTGCGCCAGCCTTGCCAGAAGTCCAGTGCTGGGGAATAAAGAAACTAGGCAGCCTTTACCAATTGCCGATGCCAAGTGTAAGGAGGAAAAAAACCACTTTATCATTACTGGTTTTTCTAACTTAAAGGCTGTCAGAAGCTCATAAAAGGTAGTGGCATTTCTCCCCCTCCTGTATGCTCAGAGAACACAGGCACACTGGAATTGTAGACTGACACAGAGGGCAAGACAGGACAGCTGAAACAGTGAATCAACACTTGATACCCTGTGCCTGGTCCGAGTCAGAACATTCAGGTGTGGTTCCCAAGTCAAAAGGTCAGACAGGATCAGGAAAAGCAACGGTTTGTGCATCTGCGTGAAGGTGTTTGATATCGTGGGAGAATCCAGGCACTGTATCATGACACCCTGTCTTCCGGAGAGACTCATGTTTTGTGTGAGCCCCCAAGAGGAGGAAGCTAAGAGTAGTTTTCACCAGTTCATTAGCAAGATCACACAGACATAGCAGAGATCCACTGGGTCTTCAGATAGTCCTCGATATTCTGCCGGACCTGTCCTCATACTGAACATCTTCACTTTGTAACTGAAGCTACTCAGAATGAGCTGAGCTCAAGCAGAACCTCCAAGTAACAATACAGAGGGCAGATATGTGTGTGTGTGTGTGTGTTTGTGTGTGTGTGTGTGTGTGTGTGTTTGAAGAATCCATTCTAATAAAAGCAATGAGGTCAGAATCAGGCTCAAGCAGGCCTGTAAGTTGTATAAGTAGTATTTTTAAATTATTCTAGTAAAAGACAGACAAGATAATCAATAATAGAATGCCGGCTGCAATCTTCTGTAAAAACAGAATATGTGTTGTAAGACTTTGTAACAAGAGTGCATGGTATAGACCCCCATGTGACAAAAGAATTCATTGAAGCATTTTGTCTTAGTTTTTATTTAACCCCACAGTGAACGGCAAATTTACTTTATTTTTAAATGTGCTGAATATTACTTTAACTTATTCTTCATATTAGGAGACAAATTGCAGCATGCCTCGTTGGAAGAAAAAAAATTAATTTGTGTACTGATTCTGTAGTGTTTAGAAGGTTGTTACCTTGGTCCTCCATTCCTTCTGGCTCTTAGACTCTTTAGGCTTCCTCTTTTACAGACTTCCCTGAGCCCTAAGAGAAGGGATTTGATGGAGGCATTCTGTTTAGAACTGAGTGTTCCAAGGTGTCTCATTCTCTACACATTGTCTAGCTGTGAGTCTCTGTATCTGTACCCATCTACTGCAAGCTTCTCTGATGATGGCCGAGCAAGACACTGATCTCTGAGTATAGCTGAATGGCATTAGGAGTCATTTTATTGCTAAGTTTCTTTAGTAGAAATAGCAGTATTCGGTTTTACCCTAGGCCCCTGGGCTATAGAGTTTCAGGTTCTTGGTCACCTAAGCAGTGCTGGGTATGGGTTCCATCTTCTGGAATGGGCCTTAAGTCAAATCAAATACTGGTTGATTACTCCCATAAGCTTTGTGCCTCTGTTGCCCTAGCATAGCTTGCAGGCAGGACTCCATTGAAGGTCTCGGTGTTGGTAACTGGGCTGTTATGTTTTTTTCTTTGGAGGCATGTTGAGTACTTTTTGGTATCAAGAGCCCTAGTCAGTAGACATGAAGGTTCTAGGTAGGCACCAGTCTCTGTTTATTGGGTTGTGTAGGTGCTGTCTTCAGCAACAGTGCCATTCCATCAGTGTGTGGAGAGCCACCAACAGCCTGAGTGGTTTAGGAATTCCCATCTGTCCAACAATGCAATGAAAATAAGGCAGCATGTACAGGACCCACACTAGTCTGCATCAGATGGAGTCCTAGAGCCAAACGAAGGGAACACCAGCCCCATCCCTAAGGCAAAAGCTATCTCCAACCATATGCAAATGCAAATTTGTCTCCCAAGGAGTCTCTCTGAGAAAACAAACCACAGGCCTGGCAGTAGAGGCATACCAGCATTTTATCTTTTTTTTTAAATTTTGTCCTTTTTTTTTTTTTTTCAGTTTTTCAAGACAGGGTTTCGCTGTGTAGCCCTGGCTGTCCTGGAGCTCACTCTGTAGACTAGGCTGGCCTCGAACTCAGAGATCTGCCTGCCTCTGCCTCCCAAGTGCTGGGATTAAAGGTGTGCGCCACCACTACCCGTCTTTTTTTTTTTTAACCTCTCTCTCTCTCTCTCTCTTTTTTTCCCCCACAGTTCTTTGTGTATATATTATGCCTTCTGGCTTTGTGTTTTTAATGGGATGCTTGACCACAAATGAGAGTCTCCGCATCTCTGTTTCCTGAGCTCTCTTCCTTTTGTTTGTCTTGTCCTATTCCAATGGATTTGTTTTATCTCATTATATTTTATTGTTATCCCTTAGAGGCCTATTTGTTTTCAAATAAGAGACAGAAAGCTGTCGGATTTGGGAGGGGAGGTGGGGAGAAACTAGGAGTAGAGGGAGGGGAAACTGTATTTGGGATCTATTATATAAAAAAAAGCTACCAACAGGATACACTGTATAAAAATCTATTTTCAATAAAAGAAAACTTTTTATAAAGTACATTCTTCTATAGTGGGTTTAAAATGTTTTTAATATACAGTAGACTTGTTGTGAATGGAAAATACTCCTTTAAAGATCATTGACTTAACACAAAATAGAAGCCATGACCCATCCATCAACTGGATAGAATTCTACTAACAATGGAGCATATTCTTAATAAGAGAGACTTTTTAATTATACTTTTTGTTTTAAACAATGAAGGCCCATTAAGGCTGACTTTGCTGAAAACTTTTCTTTCAAGGCCAGTTGGGAGGTCACAGGAATAAAAACCAAAATCCTTGGTATAAAAGTCAGCTCAGGCTAAAAAACTGGGCCATGAAATCAGCAGGTCTAGCCTAAGGCTACTTCTTTCCCCAGGCTTTAGTCTCCTCTTATGAAAACTAACTATAAGATGTAACTTAGTCTCAAAGGTTGGGAAGAGGATCAGAAAGTTGGGTGTGGCTATCCGACTTCCTGTGTAGCTGTGACTCACAGTTCCTGTAGTGATGCCTCTTAGGGATGAAATTTGGTGTCTCCCCCAGTTTCCCAAAGTCACAGTAAAATTAAATCCAATGTGATGCCATTTAAAGTTGGAGGTGTTTTGAGTGAACTGGGTCACAGAGGAAAAGCCCTCCTAAGTGGGGTTAGTCTTTCTACAGGGCCATTTTGACATCTTCCTTCACATAATGATAGAACAAGATGGGTCTTGTTGGAATGAAGAATCTTATGAAGACTCAAATCAAACCAGAGCCCTGATTTTGGATTTCTAGATTCCATAACTCTTTGAAATAAATATTTGTGGTTTAAGTCACTTGGAGTGGGGCATTTATAAGCCCAAACTGGCCAGGACCACCTGATTTATTAGTGTTTCCCTGAAAAACAGCACCCATCGATATATAGCTATATATAAATCTCACATATAAGGAATTGCTCATGCCACTGTGTAGGGCTGATGAGTTCAAAGTGTGGAGTGTGGCTGCAAATTCAGATCTGAGCAGATGTTGCCACCTAGGGTTTATAGTACAGGGTGGGCTAAAGGACTTTTGTTTGGGACTTTTTAGAGTAGGGGTGGGTACTCTGTATTTTTCAAGGTTGCAGGGCTCTTCAGCCCTTAATTTTGGGACACATGAAGAAAAAAAGAAAAACAAACACCCAGAGAAGTTACCATGTGTCAGTGCAAGGACTCCAGGGTTTGTAGGCAGGGTTTGTACTCCAGGGTTTGTAGGCAGGCTGTCAGAGCCTAGGGCGTAAGTTCAGTGAGGCGGGGTGAGGGAAATGACATAGGTAAACATACAAAACTGTTAAAATGCAGGGAGAGGAGTGTGGTAACATTCAGAGGGGTCTGGAAGGCTCACTCACAACCTATAGGTATTTATCACTGCACAATTGCAGCATGCCGATGGATGCCTTTATTTTGCAAGAGAAACATTTTACAACTGACAAGGGTAAATACCATAGTTAACTTTTTAACACTGTTTACTCTCATGAGGTTACCACTGAACGACTGTAGGATGTGGGGTGCACTGGGGCTGGGGGAAAAGGCCCTCAGGAAGATTAGAATGAACCAGGACTCGGGGAACTGAGCAACTGAGAGAAGGAAGAACTTGAGTTATTTTGCAGATTATAAAATCTTAACTTCATTGCCCAATGTGTGTCAGTCAGCCTTGGTATTTGTTACTTTCCTTGACATTCACCCTCTCTACATGAATTATGAAACAAGATGAACTGTGCATGTAGGTAGATTTATTTTGAAGCCAACAGAGGCAACGGAAAGACAGCACCATCTTCAGACATGACACTCCAACTTTGTTTACATGCCACGTACACTGAAAACGCAGAAAGGGACATTCTCGAAATGACAGCTAGAAATCACAGGTTTTGGATAGGAGGAGGGTCATGAAAAGCTGATGGGAAGATAAGAGTTGGTCTTCTGGGTAGAGGATGGCATGGGGTGGCTCTACAGGAAGTGTGTACAGTGACTACCCAGGGTTGGATCCAGCCTTTCTGATTGTTCAAATCATGTAGCGTATGGCTGCAAGGAACACAGAGTTCAAAGTGCTCTTGACAATTCCTATTTAAACTATGCCGTGGCAAAGCTTGAAGAACAGAGCCTTCTGCATTACAGCTTTGGATGTCCAACTTCAGGACAACATTCACAGGTTAAGTTTTGTTTCTCTGACTGCCCAGCTCTGTGCCCACGATTCCTTCTTCCGTAAACATCACTTCTCTTTCACATCTTCCCTATTCTTATCTTTGCTCCCTAGAACCCAGATTTGTTCTTTAAGGTGATTTCTTTTCCTTTGTGTACAATCACTGGGGAGTCAGCAAAGGAATGGAGTGGTATTTGTGTATTTTGAAACAAGATTTTTTTTTTCTTCTGTAGAAATGCTTGTTCAGTTATAGAAGAGAAATCAACAGGAAATCAAGGTGTGGGAGGCAGCTTTGCTCGAAAGCCTCTATTCTACAGATGTGCAATCCTGTCACTGGACCATGCAGTGTCAGAGCAAATGAAGGTACATTCACATGAGTTCTGCAGCTTTCAGCCAGGATGAAGACCACCCATGCTGGCCACTGTTGACAGCTTTTATTCCTCGGACAGCTGTGGCCCTGTAGGAGCATCCTGTGCTCCGGTCACTCCAGCCTCACCACCAGCTTCTTTCTCCCCTTCCGCAGGATTGACAGGAGTGGGATTTTCTTGAGAGACACTCACTTTAGCCTCTGGTTGATCTTCATTAACATGGTTAGAATTGACATCAAGCTTTTCATCTAAGAAAAAGAAAAAAGTAAGAGTCTTTGTGGCTACTCTGTGCCAGACGGTCTGACAATGTTCACTCTGTGAATCACTGGCACCATACAAGGCGTATTACGATGTTTATTATAATCAGTGAGAAAGAAGAGGAGTTGGATACTAACTCCAAGCCTCACTGAGATAGCAGCAGTACCTGCATAGAATTCAAGCCTCTGGCTCTAGGTCCAGAAATCTACATGAGAATTGTGTGGGGTTGAGAAAAATCTGCGTTTAAAGAGTTTTTCTTTCAATTAACCTGATATCCTTAAGGTAGCTGCCTATGGTTAGTTATGTGTTTCTCACTGCAGAAGTAAAAGCCTACCCATATTCTATCCTCAACACAGGATAAAAATGTTTGAGCCCCAGCAAAGAAAGCAAAACAGCAAGACTGATTAGTCTCTTAGTAACAAATGTTTCTTTTTAAGAACAGCTTTGAGGATGGCATAGCACTGATGATGTAAGAGCCATAATTGATGAACAGAGATGAAAGTGTCTAGAAACAGTCAGTTGGACATAGCCAATGTTTGCCAACTCTACACACTTCCAAGAAAGCAGGATATATCCTCTGGGCTCAGGGCTCAGGGCTGGGCAGGTCCCTAGGGTATGAGAATCACTGTGGAAGCAAGTCACAGCTTCAGAGGGAAAACAGTCACTTAAATATCATGAGAAGAAAAAAAACGTGTAACTCAGTGCTCTCATGCTTGCAGAGTTGAGTGCATGCATCGGATCTACAACTCAACCTATAGCTTATGAGTAAACCATAATTTCATTCATAATATTTAAGTATAACTAAAAATGTAAAAGGCTTCTAACTCTAAAGTCTTCTGGCTGCTATCGGGGGACCTTCAAGGCCTACTCAACGACGTTAAAATCCTCCATGAGTGACCTGTAAAGATTCCCAGCACTAAGCAGCAGATAAATGTAGAGTAAGCCATATCATCAGAGACATGTGTGTCTGCCTGCCAGGGATGTCTCTGCTGACTGTGTTTTATGCAGAATCCCAGAGGTGAGTCTATTCTGAAAGGGACTCAGTTCCTGTGTGCAGCATCAGGGTAACCCTGGCTGCATTTCCTCCACACAAGGAGGCAAGCAGCACAGGCTCAGTGGATTGGTACCTACTCTTTTCCTCCTGTCTCTTATGTTTGGCAGCTTCAGACTGTTGCTTCTCATAAACATCCTTCAGACTCTTACACATCTTCTTATGTGCGAACCAGTGTGTTTTCTGGCAGGTCTGGTCACAATATATTACCTGAGAGCAATTACAATTCTTATTTTAATTTAAGATTTAGAATTGCATAATTTCCCAACAAACATCAAACCAAGAGCTATCCGATAAAAATGCCGTTTCCCATATTTAAAATCAAAACAAAATTATTATATGAGATGTGGTTGTATATAATATAGCCATATGTTGGTCCAGATTTGTAATTTTAACCTTAGACGAAAACAATAATAATATACACTAAGCGGGCTTGGTAACTGGCATATTAAGAACCTGTGATCCCAGCAATTGGGAGGTGGAGTCAAAAGAGTGGTCTCAGGAGAAAACAAAACTGAAAATAATTTTTTGCATTTCTTGCTGCCTACTTGTTCTTCTACCATGGCCTTGGGAACATGAGCACCAGCCAAACTGCCCCACCTGAAGGCAGCCTGCCAGACAGGAAGTGTGTCCATGCACTTAAACACTGCTTTCACAGGACTTTCCTAGGTGCAATAGTTAGTTAGAACACCCCAAGACCTATCTCACACATGAGGAAACAGGCTAAGGAAGTCATTTAAGCAGGTAATGCTGTTGAAGCCATGAGAGTGGCAAACACTGCTGTGTCAAAATCAATTGGAGAATTTCACCCTTGAAACCAACAGTTTAATGTTACCAGTGGGATTCGGTGAGTGTACCAGACACACACACGTGGGCAGGATCAGGATGTGAGAAGAACATAATTAGATATGTACTTTACAAAGATAACTCTAGGAAAGGTGAACTCGGGGTTCCTAAGGACCACCATTTTGCTGGCAGTTAGAAGTTCTGATATAAAGGGAAGAGTTGAGGAAAGACTGGGAAGCCAACATAAAATGATTGTGAACTGTCTCAGGCTAGGTTTTCTTATTAGCACCAGCCTGTGCCTGTTGCTCTCTGATCTATCTCCTCTTCTTCATCCTTTCCTTTTTTTTTTTTTAATCTCCTTTTCTTTCTGTGCATTAGTAAACACAGAAACCACAGCACATGGGTAGTTCTCTTTCTGAGCTACTGTTTGAGACTAAGAATGATATGTTCATTTATTAGAGTTTATTAGAAAACTAGTGCCAAGTGCTGTGCTTGTATGATGTTAGGATGCAGCAGTCAGCTTGGTGCCGTCTCATCTACACATCAATGAGTTTAAAAGAATTCCACTCTTACCATTTTACAAACCGAACATCTTTTGCTCGCTCCTTTTTCTCCACAGGTGGTACAAAATTCAACATCCACAAAGCCCACTTGTCCTGTGATGGCTTGGGTAAGTACTGAGAATGCAGTGGGATCAGAACCCTGGAGGAATGGGAAGAGGAGAAAAGAAAACCCACTAGGATCCCCATGCAAGACCACAGAGGCGTGTATCACTGACACAAGGTGTTGACCAGAAACAGAAGCAAGAAATTGCTAATGTTTCAGATAGCACACACTCTATGATGAACAATCAGCCTTCTGAGAACACTCTCTTCTACACAAATTTATATAGCCAGTAAAGCACAGATAGCCATAAATGAAAGAAAAGAGTGTCCCTATTCTAGAACACAAGCATTTTCAATTAGTACTAGTCAGTAATGTCATATCAACTTCAGAAATAGAACAGAGCTTGCAAATTTTTTCTTCTTGCTGAGTATTGACATCAAGTCAATATCGAAACCCCACTGTATTCAAATGCTAAATATTGGACCCCAAGATATGATTGCACCCAGGAGCAGATCCTCATGTGCACCAAGTGATGCTATATAAACTTTGCTCCCAAATTTAAAACTATTGGTTAAAATAAAGTGGCTATAGGGGTCACAGGGAGAGAGAGAGAGAGAGAGAGAGGTTGGAAGAAGAAAGACAGAGAGGACAGATTTCCATTAAATGTGATGGGCCAGGAGTACATTTCTGAGTGAATGCCCCGCCATGACAGACTTCTGGAGCAGAAGTAACCCGGGCAAGATAGATTCAAACAACAAGTACTGGAGGAGCACAGCTGGGAATTAACAGTATAGCGAATAGAGATATAGAGATTGGGCAAAAGCTAAATGAATAAAGCAGTCTGAATTTCATTTATTTGGAAGCTAACAGAGATATGAATAATCCAATTATTTTAGACCCCATCAAGTTAATATCAGTACCCATCAAGTTAACAGTGATACCTCATCAAGTCCATATTGATAACCCACAGAATAAACACAGAGATCTCACTAATTTCTATCCCATCTTTCAAAACATTTTAATGACTTTATACTTCTGAATGTTCTACCCTCTTTAATAAACACACATGTAACTACCCAAGATGGTTTTAAGATATGGTTTTAAGAAATTTATCGTTATGGGATTAGTAAAAGAACAGGTTGTGAAAAGTTTATAAATAAACTTTGACGAGGAACATTACAAGGGTAAATATTTATCTGCCTGAAGCAAAGGCATTAAGGCCTTTCAAGGGTAAACAAAACGAAGAGGATCTTTAACTGATCCTATTCCCTCCTATTACATTACCAGCTACTTGTTCACTGTGCTAGATTTTCACCCGAGCCTGTGCCTCTTCCGTGTAAGAACTACGTTTATACTGTCATAATGGATCTTTAACAAAAGTCACTTGAGGACAATATTCCATAGTGTCCTGCATACTGAAGATCATTTAAGAAAATATTCAGATGATTCAAGAAGCATTTTTAAAAGTTGCTTTTCAAATGATCAAGTTCTTGAATATCAGTTAACTTTCATTGTGGGAGGGCTAAGAATTATCTTATCAAATAAATAAGGTAATAAGGAAAAATTAGGGAAAATGAGCCTAAGTTAATTTCATATTTCATCAGGAATGAAGGTGCATGGCCATTACCTTCATATACTGACATGTAGCACGCTTGTTAAAAATAGAGGTCCATCTGCTTAATCCATACTTTCTAAATCAGAATTTCTATGAATGTGGTCCAGGAAACTGCATTATTATTAATGTCTCAGGTAATACCAAGATGTACTAGAAGTGAGAAATACTTGGCTTAATATTGTACTGACTCTTTATAAAGCTATGTAATTCCTTTCTTTCACAAGTGGAGACTTGCCAGTTCTGGTGGCACACACAGGTTACGATATGAAGAAATAGAGTCCTGTATCAGAAAGTAGATCTGGCCCACCAATGGATTAAAGCATGCTACATTCGATGGACATCACAACCATGACATTTTCATGTTCAAATATTTGCTTTTTTACCACACTGCCTGAGACAGGTTCATCCTGAAGACAGGAGCTTTCTGAAAGCCACTCAACACACTCACACTCATCCAGCTATAACTAAGGACCAAACGCAGGATACCTGCTAAGAGTATGACTGTACACATGAATTACTGCTTCAGAACAAAAACTGTCATCACAGTACACATGGGTAACCACAGAGACTCCTTCTTGCCACTGTTGTGTGACAAGAACTTTCTTGACAAGTAAATCTTGTCATCTGCTTTGCTAATCAGCCTGAAAACAAGCAGGATGCTTTTATTCAGTGCATGTCACAAAGTCAGAGACTGCAGCGTAATGCTTTGGGGAGGTAGCTGTGCTGAGCCAACCAGAAGGTTCTAGTTCAAAGCAGACTGGGCTCAGAGTAAGGCTGCTGCTACCTAGAGTAGGACTACAAAGAATTAAACTTAACTAACACTGGCTACAATCTACCTGTGGGCACGAGGACGCTGACAGCAATAATGCTATGTGATGCTGCTCTTTAATGAGTACACACAGTCCCTCAGGAGTTTAACCCCTAGTAACCCATGCTATACTGCACAGATAGCCACTCCCAAGAATAACCTACCATATGTCTTCCTCAGCTAAATAATGGCATGCCTGATTGACCATCCAGGAATGAGTCTCATACCCTATCCTATAAGACCTAAACCACCAAGACACTGTTATATTGAACCACTGCCTGACTGTCTACACAGAACACATATTAATAACCTCCCAGAATATCTCTAGTAGACAGCTCTTCTCTGTGGTCTAGCTTGTTGTGACTATATTGTCACATATCTAACAAACCTTACTTCTGCCTGTTTCTTAAACAATTCTTCCATTCTACACATCACTGGCTCATCACCACCTTCATGCATTGCAGATAAAAGCTAGTATGGAAGCATCACCTGTCAATAAAAAGCTAACTGGCCAATAAGGTGAAGCAGGAAATAGGAGGTGGGAGTTCCAATAGGGAGAGAAGAACTCTGGGATAGAGTCAGGCGTGGAAAGAAAATAGCCCTGAACTCTGAGGAGACAGACATACAAAATTGAGAAGAGGTAACCAGGCATTCGATATTCATAGAATAGAATAAGTGGGTTAATTAAGTTATGAGCTAGTCAGGGAACAAGCACAAGCTTATGGCCCAGGCATTTATTCATATAAAATTAAGTCTCCAAGTTGTTATTTTGGGAACTGGGGGACAGGTTGAAAAACCTGCAGTTACGAGCTAGATTCCTTGAAGTGAAAACATGAGTTGCTAAAGGACAGACAAGGTAAATTTTCTGCCTTATAACCTGCTACAGTGCTCAACTGAGATTCCCTAAAGAGAGCAAAAGTCACTTCCTGTTGAGCTCTGTTGTGGAGAAGCCAGAGTCCCACACTCATAAAGGGAACCATAGCCTATGCAGGGGGGCCCCAGGCTTCAGAACAGGCATAAGCAACAATGACTGTCACAGCCACCAGCCTGTGGCCCTCACGTTACAGTAATGAGTCAGTGTTCATTTAGAGATGTAAAACTATACAGAATCATGGAAAACATACATGGTTGCTATTTGGGAAACCCCACCATAAGTTTCCAAAAAGTTATTTTTAGAGAACTTGGTTTTGCACAGGGCACTACACTAAGGCTTTGTGCAAGCTAGACAGTGCTCGGACACAGAGTTACATCCTCTGCGTTCTTTCTACTTTGGTAGACAAGATCCTATGAAGCTACTTTGCTTGTGAATCCAGTACATCGTTCAAGGCTCAGGCAGGTCTTGAACTTATTACTCTCCCACCCTAAATCATTCAAGTAGCTAAAACAAGTAACTAGAACAAGTAGCTATCAGGCCTAGAATAGCCTATATAAATCTTAAAGGCCAAAAATTTTTGAAAGAGAAATCTTTCCAAACTCTACTAAATACTATCTCAATTTTATTATCAACCTTTCCTGACAATGTAAATTGCCAGGAAAAAAAACATTAAGCATTTTGCTTTATAAGATGTAATTAATTACTTTTTTTTTTTGTGGAACAAAGACGAAATGCTGACTTGTCCTGACTCTTAAAAATAAATTTGTAAAAATGTATTTCTATCCTGTGGGGATATGCCAAGGTTGCATAGCTGGAGGTCAGAGGACAAATAGTGACAAATAGGACAAATTGATTCTGTCTTTACAGAATATACACAACTGGCTTGTCGCCACCTTCATGCATAGCAGATATGAACCAGTTTCCTAGGAGTTAGAAGTTAAATTTTACCTTAGCTATCCTTGTGGGTCTTGATGATCAAAATCAAGTTGTCAGGCCTAGTGGGAAGTGCCTTTACCTGCTGAGCCTTCTTGCTAGCCTCATAAACAGAAAGCTGAACCTTTAAAAAAAAAATAATTTTATGGCTGGAGAGACAGCTCAGCAGTTAAGAGCACTGCCTGCTCTTCGAGAGGTCCTGAGTTCAATTCCCAGCAACCACATGGTGGCTCAGAACCATCTGTAATGGGATCTGATGCTGTCTTCTGGCACGGAGGCATACATGCACATAGAGTACTCATGTACATAAAATTAAATAATAATTTTAGTGTGTATATGTGTGTGTGTATGCATACATGCACTGGTACATGCATGCCATAGCATACACACAGAGGGCAGAACACAACTCTGGGGAGTTGCTTCTTTGCTTCCAACACTGGATTCAAGGACTGACTTGGGCCATCAGGCTTGTGCCCTCTGAGGCATCGAGGTTTGATGTCAACAGCTAGGCTCTCTGGGCTTGCTTTTGATTTCTCTCCTGTAGGTACAGTAGCAGTCTTCACTTACCAGTGGTGTGACAGCCACTGCTAGTCACTTCTCTGACATAACCCTGCAAACTTCTCACCAACAGAGAGTAATATAGTTTGAGGCACCAGTGTGTAAATATGTCAAAACCTTTATTCCACTGGACACATGCGCAGCTCAGGGTGGCCGTGTGATATAAGTGGCAATTGTGTGGAGAGCATTGTCCCCTCAGGAGAGAGACCTTTGTTCTATCTGCCTGCCTGAGATGAGCATTTGTCCTACAGGAAATCCGTGGACCTGAACAAGGTTTGTTCACATCAAAGCTCGAGGCCTCAGAGGGCACAAGCCTGAAGACCTGAGTTCAGTCCTGGAATCCAGTGCTTGAGCAAAGAAGCAACTCCCCAGAGTAGTGTTCTGCCCTCTATGTGTATGTGAGCCTGTCTAGGTAAAAGTATGGGACAGAAACATGAAAGAGTGAGAGGACACCCACCCCACCCTTCCGCCCATTCCTAAGCCACTGTGCCAGTCCTGGTCTCCTAGCTTTGGTCATTTGAGTGTATATGAACAGGTAAAGCCTTACTGTTTCAACTCTGTTGGCCAGGCCTGGTATATCCATCATAATTCATCTTCATGATTTGCTAATTAATCTTCTAAAAGTTTAAATGGCAAATAGCCAGCTGTGTTTAAGAAGGAAGAGCTTCTGTGTGAAAGGATCAGAAGCTTGTGAACAAACTATGGAGTTTAAGCATTTTGCTGGGAATATGTGGAACTTGATTTCAACACTGAGGGTGACAACACAGCCTCCAGTAGGGACAGAGAAGGGAACCAAATAACCAGAGGGGCAGAGGAAGCTATGTGGTAAGAACTACATCAGATGAAAGGCTGATACAGGATTTGGTTGAAAGTCTTATAAAAGTGTGAATCAGTCTGGCCAAGGTGAACAGAAAACTACTGAAAATGAGGAAAACATAAAGTATACCACGAAACAGCACTTAAACGTGCAACAGCGAGGCAGTAAGTGATTTAAGGCAACTAAAATTTAATTCCTACAACTAGGATAGACAGATCTTTTTTTTTCTTTCTTTCTTTTTTTTTTTTTTAAAAGAATGGAACATTCCTAATTAGTGGCACTTAAGTTGCACATAAGAAGCAGGGACACTTTGAGATTGTTGATCAGGAATCACAGCCAGCCTTCTGTTGGCTCATCCAGCTGTGGCCCATTACCTCAACCCTGGTACCCTAGATGACCAATCTGTGCACCCATCTACTCTGGAAATTTCCACTAGTAATTCTTTCAGCCACCAACGCGCACACGTGTGTCTCTATCCTTCAGTAGACGGGCCTCCGAACAGTATAGCATTCACAAACCCGTTCCCTTATAACTAACAACTTTCCTATGGAGAGAAATACCATCAACAAATTTATGTTTCAGTTCTCTTTCTAAAATTTTCCTGAAGCCATGAAAGCGATCAGTAAGGAGAACTTGTCCTTTAGGGACACACCATGCAGTGGTCTGGTCTGACTGGACGTTTAACCTAGCAAAGATGGAGCCTTACAATTTCAACTGGAGCGATGCTGCGCACCAGCTGCTGGAGGAGCGTAGCTTCACAGTACGGGAACTTCCTGATGCTCTCTCTGATGATCTTTTCCTGATATACCGGGAAGCCATCCGATGCTCGGCCTTTCAACAAGCTGAAAGACAGTTTTTTTAAACAGTTCAAGATGAGACACTAAAACAATGCCCTCCTTGGAAGACCCAAAAGCGTTTCATAGTGTCCTGTTAAAATTGCCAGTGTCGCCTCAAATCTCGAGGATGCACTCGTTCTAAATTGTTATTCAGATCATATAGTCTGCCTGACTTGGTTTCCAAGATCTGATTAGCACGAGCCCTCAAAAGTCTGAGTGCTGTCCTCTGGCCAGCGAGCTATGGATGACCTTGTCAGCTGTTTGTAGGAAGCATGGAATCGCTCAGAGAGCCTTGCACTCATGACTCAGTTCCTCTTCCTCAGTAAAGCTGTGGATCACTTAGATCCCTCTGGTCAGTGTGCAAAGGTCATACAAAGCTCTAGCAGGTGTGGTAACAGCACAGGAAGTACCAGGAGGAATCCAGCCAAAGGCGAAGGTCACACACACAGCTCTAGCGGGTGTGGTAATAGACACAGGAAGTGCCTGTACAGCAGCTACTTCACCATACACTGAAGCTCATCACTTGGGTCATTCTCTAGCTCTGTGGTCTTATGCATATCACTTACCATGTTTGAATAGACTTGTTGGATTTCTCAAGAGTAAATCAGTAGAAACAACAACGGAAATGACTACACTCCATCAGAGTCTGATATTGTCCCTTGTGCTGGGAGACTAGACAAAAAAGCAGTGACTAGTGCTGCAAAAGTGATCATTTATATAAGGCATCTTGAGCGTATTTCTACACGCCATGGCAGAAGCCATACCTTTTGATCAGGGTGTCCAGCTTATTCTCTCCTTCTTTGAGGAAGGTAATGCATTTCTGAAAGATGCAGCTGAGGTAGTGCATTTTCATAGCCAGCACCTCATTCATGTCTCTTTGCTTCATGCATTTCTCGCAGATCAAATCCATCACCTTGTAGCATTTACCAAGAGCGGCTGCGTCTGCCAGCAGAGGGTTCTCACTCACAAGCATCACAATCTAGAAGAAGAAATGCCACCGGACACTGAGATCCCACAAAAGACCTCTTCAAGAGGCAGTCAATATAGCTGGTATCCAGTCTGTCCTGGTTTTCCTTATAATCATGGGTACCACACAACTCAAGTCAGATTTGCTACCATTCCATGTTATCAAGCTTACACGGCACTAGGGAATCTCTTGACATTAAAGTTAAAATGTAGTCTGTCATCTACCCATCCTGCAGTGCTAGCATGCTCCCAGAGCACAGTGCACTACTGTCTCTGACAAGCACTTTTATGAATGATAACATATTCAAACTATTCATTACACATAGGACAATATCACCGAGCAATCAACAACTTTTAGTTGACATTACTAAACTCAATAACCCCATAGCTGGGAAAACTACAGCTCTCGCTACTTCCTCTCCTTCCTTCTTTGTTCATTGAATTTTTGAGACAGGTTTCATGTATCCCAGACTGGACTTGAACTTGCTATGTAAGGATGACTCTGACTTCCTGATCCTCCTGCCCCCACAGCCTAAGTGCTGGGATAACAAATGTGCACTGTATTTATGGGGTGCTAGAAAGTGAACCCTGGGCTTCTTGAATGCTAAGCAAGCATTCTGTTATTGAGTTAGATCCCTAGTCCTCTGATTCTTACTAATTTTACGAAGATCAGACCTCTACAGAAAGAAGACTAGAATCAATAAGGGCCTTTACTTCCCAGTTAACTACATTTCTTTGTGAAAATTTTCCTTAAGGTTAGCCCAGTTATCCCCAATAATGCAATTATATTAATATGAAAATCATAAACAGCTTTGAAAGGGAGACTAGTAGAAAGTTATCCAATCTCAGAAATTATGAGTCCTACATTTCCTGTTTATGTACTAATTAAGGTCAAATTTACTCTAATAAAGAGTGCTTTTATGAGCTTTGCTATGGGGCATATTACTTGAGGTTAGTCTGCAGGCGACCATCATACAGTTTGCTGATGATAACAAGGATGAGAACCTGTGTGTAGTGGCCAGAGGGTGGGCAGCAGACAGTGCTCGCTAACCTGTATGCTTCAGCTCAACCTCTGTGCCAGAGACAACTACTGTCAAGGAGGAGACTTTGTGAATTGCAGTGTCTTCAGACAAAAAGAGAAATCACCTGTGAGTTGACATAATACCCAGGCCCAGCCTTCCCTGAAATCTCACATAGCTTCAAGGCCAATGAGAAAGCACCTTTGACACTTAATTTTTTTTTTATATAACCAATTCTTTTTCAAGATACAACACTTTTTAAGAAATGATCAGGCTTCAGGAAGTAACTAAAACTGAATCCTTATTAGGAAATTTGCTGATCATTCTCCCTACTAAGACAAATGTAAACAGATTAATCTGTTTATCTTTGGAAGCTGAAGAGATGGATGGTTCAGTGGTTAACAGCGATGGCCGCTCTTCCAGAGGATCCAGCACCCATATGGTTGTTTAAAACCAGTCAAAATTCTAGTTTCAGAGGTGCAGATGCCTCTTCTTGCTTCCACAGGTACCAGGTACCCACGTGATACAACTACATACATGCAGGCTTGGAGTTAAGAGAGTTACTGCTCTTGCAGAGGACCCAGGTTTGGTGCCAGGACTCACACAGCAGCTCACAACCTCCTGTAACCGGGGATCTATTGTCTTCTCCCACTTCCGAGGGCTTTGTACACAAGCAGTGCACTCCATGCCCTCAGGTACATAAACATACACATAAAATAAATACATAGTTTTAAAAACCAATCTGTAGAAAAAATTTATTTGTGATGTAGAGGGCTCATTAATATATCTGGTAATTATGATCACTTAAAACTGTTCAATATTTTATATATGGTCTCAATAATAAGGGTATAGACTCAAACTTACAAGCAAAATTCTTTTTAAAAATCTAAAACAGAGCAGCCTATATTAATATTTAAAAAAATTGAGACTCTAGGCTTTGTTTACTCTACAAATCAGAACAAAGATTTATGAGGACTATGATCAATAAATAGAGAATTACAGAAATATTCATATGCTCTTCACAAGGGAATATTCTCACTGGCTTTCTTTATATCTGCAGCATTATAAAAGTGAAATCTTCATGATGGAATGTCAGAAGCACGTGTGTTCCTTTTAGCATAAGATCAAGATGAATCTTATTTCTCCAAGGACGGCTAACAAAGACAATGCTCTTGCTGTAGCATTTTAATTATTTTCCCTCTGTCTACTTTTTTTTTTTTTTAAGTGGCAAGTCGACACTCTTGGGCTTGAAAGACTGGACTGCCATGTGTGTACCTGCCTAATCTTCTCTCAGGGGCCCTTCTCAAAGTTATTGTGATTTTGCCTGAGATTTTGTTTTTCTCCTAGATAGCCATTATTGTCTGGGCATCCGCACAATTCCCCAAATCCCTTTTGAAAACAAACGCATCGCTATAGCAGCCACGTAACCTAGATGCAAAGTCGGCCATTTTAGGCACAAAAGCAGCGAAAAGGTGAGCTGGGGAGAAGTTCCGTGCTTCTTTTTAAAGGATGTTTGATCTTAGCCTGGGGTTTCTGTTCCTTGTTATAACCCTCTGAAGCTGTGTGACTCGGTAAAGCAGTGAAGTAGGCCACCACAACAAAAGCAGAGGAGCTGCTTTTGTATCTAAAGTATAGATGAAAGGCCGAGCTTCAGGTGAACGGACCACCCACTCCTACGCGGAGCAACGTCAGAGAAAGGACCACAGTTCCAGCAGTCTCTCTAAAGACACAATCCAATCATGTAGATCACCTTGGATCATATGCCTTTACCTTGCCTGTATGAGTAAGCACATACTCTAATTTAGCCAAAATGTGTGTATCTGAATGTGTGTAAAGATAACTAAAAATAAGAGAGAAACAGTGGGTGTCATGCAAATGTCAGAAGGAATTCCAGAACCGCTCTGCAATCTGAAGGCAAAGAAACAGATGCGGAAGCCAGTGAAAGAAAATGGGTGTGCAAGTCAGTCTCTGCGTTAAACCTCGTCTCCCAGCCCTGTTTGTGCCTGAAAGCCCACTGAATAGGAGCTTCTGAGCCTCCTAGGAGTTTTCAAGAACTGCTGAGCTGTCCAGGAGAGAACACAGGGCTTCACAGGTAAACTCTAAGCTTCATCTTCTTCACAGTTTCTTAAGTAGTGTTTGCTGTTAAAAACCAAGCACAGCAGCCAGCGGTGGTGCATGCTTTTAGTTCCAGCCAGAGGCTAGCAGATCTCCTTGAATCTGAGGCCAGCCTTATCTACAGAGTTCCAGAACAGCCAAGGCACAGAGAAACCCTGTCTTGAAAAACAAATCAAAACCAAACCAACCAACCAATCAAACAAACAGACAAAACTAACTGAAAATGGAGATGAGATCAGGAAAAATGGCTCAGAGTGGCTCTTAAACCTCACACTGAACAACCTGAACTCTGAAGCCTCAGCTGACAATCTGTTTGATTCCTCTAACAGTGTTATTCAAGGCGTCCCATATCCACATGCACTGAAAAGATGTTCCTGTTTAATGGAATGGTGTACTTCTGAGTATCCCGACAAGGATAACTATTGCTGTCCGGGTAGATAGTGTGCGACCCAGACTCATATTACCAGGTCTATCGTACTCAGCACCACTGAGGGCACAACAGTTTCCTCCAGAGAACTTCCCTCATTCAAGGGAACCACCCATTTCCTCTCTCTATGATGTTGTTCTTTCCCTCCGGGGACAAGTCCAGGCCAATGACAGACTGAAGGACACTAAAAGTTTTCTGCTCTCTCATGGCTGGAGCCAGGCTGTCTGCAGCAATGCCTAGGGATAAGCAGAGCTAAACCTTCTCTTCCGGGCCTTTTGGCCAGCTTCTCTTGGTTTTCCTCAGCAGATCCTGGCAGTTCACTGAGCACACTCCTGCAATGACTCAGGCAGAGAACTCGGCCTGAGACAATTACAGCCTCATGTAAGACACTGAAGCAACGCTGATCTGAAGAGCAGACATAACAGACACCACGCTACCTTCACAGGGTGGAGATTCGTTGTGGTGATGATTTTGTGCAGGGGGCCTGCCAACTTTGGAGGCAGTTTTGGCTCTTTATCCAGTCCCTGGGGTTTAGTGTAATAATCCAGTCTCTCTCGAGGGAAGAAATTGTTGATGATAGCTACGCAATCATGCTGACCTTTAAGTAGAAAAACAGAGACGTTGTTATTTTATCATTAAATACAGGAGTCTGGGTTGTTTTTACAACATGACTATTTGCTTTTGGAGTAAACATGCATCCGTGTTTTTATTCTTCAGGAAAAGAGTAGAGAAAGAGAGGCAAAATATTTCAGAGAACATTTGTAAGCATCCAAAAGTAGAGGGATAACATTTAAAGAAAGGATCCATAGTAAGCTTGAGGATTATGTAGATTACCAAAAAAAAAAAAAACCTAAACTTTAAAAAAACCCTAAAATTAATTTTATAAAAATTGACTATAAGCCGGGCAGTGGTGGTGCATGCCTTTAATCCCAGCACTTGGGAGGCAGAAGCAGGTGGATTTCTGAATTCGAGGACAGCCTGGTCTACAGAGTGAGTTCCAGGACAGCCAGGGCTCAAAAAAAAAAAAAAAATTGACTATAATTTCTTCTTCCACCCTGACAGCAATGACACTCATGCTTCCTCCAATGACATTCAGGTGCATTTTATAGCTTAAATATAGTCTATGCAAAGTATCTTTGTTATAGTCATTAATATTATCAAGTAACACCCCCACCTCCAGTCGAACTGGAGAGAAGCTTGGTCTCTTTGTGAAGCGAGCTTAGAACTGTTGTTGATCCCACCAGCTTGGAATCAATAGTGTTGTCCTTCACAAGCTCCTAAAGCACATCCATGAGCTGTTTCTCGGATTAAATAGAGTTCCACTACAGCACAGCATTCCTAGGAAAGCTGGTGGCCCGCCCGACCCTGTTCCTATTGTCTCCATCCATAGCTTCCTCTCCACTACCTCTCAAGAGCCAAGAAGTGGCTACTGTGGGTAGACAGGTAGAACGGGCAGGGAGAATTCCAGAGAACTATCTCTCTCAAGGTCTCTAGAAGACACCCTTTTCCCTCTCTGTCGACTATGGCTAAGGGATGAGAGGCAGCCAGTCCTGGAGATAGTGGTCCACCTTGGTTTGCCTGCCTGGCTCCTGTCCATGTATACTAGGTGGTAGGAGTACATGTGATCCTGCTAACAAGCAACCCGTAGAGGAACTGCACTGCTGACAATCTGGCCCCCACACCTAAACTGGCAGGGAGCTCAACCTGTCACTCAGCATTTCTGAGAAACTGAGAAGAATGACTCCTGCTTGGGCCTAGGTGGCTCCAGACCTTGGACCATAGGCAGAGGCTGCAGCCTTTTGTTCCTCTGGCCCACAACCCTAGAGGGTTTACCTGGCTGCCTAGGAGATGCCAAGCAAAGTTCTATGACTGTGCAGTGCCTCTACAAGATAGCTTCTAGTGTCCCACCAGCACTGACACTAACCTAGCTTCCAGCACAATCACAGGTCTCAAACAATCACCTAAGCTGACTCTGGAAGAGTTTCCAAAGGCTTTCAAGAACCACAGGAAAGCTAAACTTTTCAAAATTAATCAGTAAATTCAAAGACAGAATCCCAGGCTTCTGTGAACTAAATTTGTAACAGATTAACTGGATGAAATGCTTCAGAGTAGAAAATCACTCAGAGAGAAAGTATAATGAGAGAGATGAGAGAGCTCACAATACCCAGGGAATCTAACACCAAAAAGAATCAAAATTCAGAGTGAAAAACAGAAGAATAGATATAAAAGTAAGTAATCGAAGAAAATATCCCTTGTTTGAAAAGATAGTTCAGTACTGACAACAATGTCATTTTATGCGCATGCTACTATTAAATGCCAAACCATCAGTGCTTTTCTGCTGGGGGAAAATGAGAGGGAATCCTATCTCCTCTCCTTCATTCCCCTTCCTTGATGTCTTCTTTTTGCCTACTAGAAATTTCTATTCACATCTTGAGCAATCAACCACATAGTAAGAATCTGAAATCAGCCAAAGTGCTATGTTTAGTAAATGGTGTCTGCTTCCAGAATCTTCTAAGAAAAAAAACACCATTCATCTGAGCAAATCTCCTACTGCAAGCAAGTTATAAACACCACAGCACCAAAATCAATACAGGTGTCTCTGTGAACTGGCAAAAGGCACATAAGTAAAGGAAAAGGGTGAGGGCGAGCGACCTCACTGATTCTTTACATGTAACCTACACGGGTTTGTAAGCTTAAAACAGTGTTCAATTATCTCAACAAAAGTAACAAGCCAGGTAGGCCAAGACTGGGACATAAATGACCGTTAACTATTTCTAGGAGTCCCTGAAATGTTAAGTTCTGCTGTAACATGACACCAATCACCCAGGAGACAGCTCTGGGTGAGTTTGTGGAGGTGTTTCCAGAGAGGTTTGAGTAAAGACTGACGACCCACTCTTTTGATGTGACTGGTACTATCCCATGAACTGGAGTCTCAGAGTAAATAAAAAACAAACAAACACCACCGCTAACAACAACAGGATGCCGAGTCCCAGAATCCATTGCTTTTCCGGCTGTAGACGGCATGATCAGCCTCACACTCCCATCTCATGACTTCCCCAGCATGATGAATTGTATCTCCTCAAATCATGAACCCAAACCAACCCTACCCTCCTTTCAAAAATTGTCTTGGTCAGCTATTTTGTCATTGGGAGAAGAACAATAACTAATACAGCCAGCTTCTAACTAGACAGTCAGAAGGGCAGCTAGCTAGCAACTGTACCTATCTACACATAAAATATCTGCAACCTAACAATGACATGGTCAGAGGACAAGTCTAACCTAATTCATTCGCCAATCATTTATTAGAATAGCATATATTTAAAGTTTATCGTTACAAATTTAATTTTAGTTGATAACTTTAAATTCCATATAAAATTATTAAAAAAGATTTTTAATCCTTTAATTTAATAATTCTGATTAGATACAACTAGAAAGCATTATTAATAAGAAAGTAAATGCTACAGAGGAGGAAACTCAATTGGTATGGATCAAGCTAACTCATCGCTCGCCAGCTCATGTATCTCATACTTGGTTCTAAGCTGGGAGTACTGTTTGGGGAGGCTGTGGAATCTCTGGGACAGAGGGTAACTCAGGGTGAGCCTTGGGGCTTCTAGCATGGTCCTGTGCCAATCCACTGTCTGCTTCCTGGTTGACACTACATAACAAGCAGCTGTTTGCTCTCCTGCTGCTACTGCAGAGACAGCCCATTGCCAGGCTTCCCACCAGGCTGTACTCTAGTCCTCTGAAATGAAAAGTTCCAGTCCAGCATTTTACTATAAGGACCAGATGCAGGTCTTCTCAATAACAAAGACGCACTGACACGTCTGAGTCAATTTTTACATTGCACGGATGAACTGAAGGTCAAACTTCTTTAGAATCCGAAAGGAAAAGCTTAGAAGGGAAACTTAACTGAATTCTCACTTTCAAAAGTAGAATTTAGAAAGCTGTTAGCATAACTTTCAAATGAACAGAGAGAAAAGAATCATGATATAAGCATCAAGGAACAAGCGAGAAAAAAAAACCAAACATCCCAAAATGATCACCCAGCTGTGATGGGTTTCAAAAGATATAAAATCTGCATAACTCATCTCAGAAGGTCCAGCAATCAAATCCTAAATGAAAAACAGAGATCCCAGAAGCCAAAGGAGAGAGGGGAACAGAGAGAGGCACTCAGACAGTAAACCTGAACAGGGAGGAGTACCCAAGAAACTATGATGTCAAGAGGACTGTTAAAAGATGTGACATCCTGCATGGGCCTTCTAGAGGAATGGGCACAAAAGACAGTAGACTGATCCAGTGAGGTCCAGACAGGAGCTGCAGGCACAGTGGTGCAGAAGGCTACGGTGCAGCAGAGCATTAAGGCAGCGGTGCAGAAGGCAGAGAGCAAAGACCTAGAGGTGTGACAAGCCAAACACAGAAAGAGAAATGCGATATGAAGACTTCATCCTGATGGAGATCATTAAATAGCCAAGCAGTACCTTGGGCATAGAGAGCAAAGTATAAGTGGGTCTAACTTTCACCAAAAAGAGACATATTAAAGAAAAACACACACACACGCCACCACCTAATAAAATAAGGAGTAATGATAGAGAGGAGAGGAATGGAATGAGTGGGTGTATAAATAAATACCTACTAAAACGAGAGGGACTATCCTTTGGAATTAGAAATAATTCTATGTTTATAAATTACATCATTTATATGAAATACAGGAGTATCTGTCTATAATCCCAACAACTGGAGCATGGAGGAAGAAGGATGAAAAGTTCAAGTCTATCCTTAGCTACACATCAGTTTTAAATGATATGAGACCCTGCCTAAAACAAAGAAACAAAAAAACCCAATAAATAACAAAAAAAAAGGAAAGGAAGGAAGGAAGAAAAAAGGAAAGAAAAGAAAGGAGTAGAAAAAGAAAAGATTAAAAAGAGAGGGAGAAAACCAAGTTATTGATAAATACAAAATAAAAAAGCGGACTCAGGATATGGCTGAGTGGGTAGAAATTCTTGTTATACAGGGAACTGAAATTAAGTCTCTAGAAACCACACAAAAAAAAACCTGGCTTCTTGTGAAAGCCACTGTGATCCAGGAGATTAATAATTAAAAAATGTAAAACCTAGTATTCCTCTTTTTCCTCCATAATGAACTAGAACTAGTAAAATATGAGTAAGAGTGGGAATTCTTACAATACAGACACTAGCTAGAAAGGACTTACTGACAAGCTTGGTAACACATGCCTGACATGGTGCTTTCTAATGAGAGGCAGAAAGCGGCTAGATCTGGATGGGAGGGAGAGTGGGGAAGAACTGGGAAGGGCAGAGGAAGGGGGAAGGATAATCAGGAGATATATATATTCAGGAGATATATATATATATATATATATATATATATATATATATATATAGTTTTCAATGAAAGAAAAAAATTTAAACGCCAGTTGTGTGGAAAATATAACTTCAACTGACAAGAGATGTGATGTACTTCTCCACCTGTGACGCTAGCCTTCCTACCTTTAAATGCAGGAGAAACATTACTGCTATTTTAGAGTGGGGAAAATGATATAATTGGAGATAATCATATGAAGCTAATTGAGCCAGTCTCATAAAAGCAAATACTGTATATTTTCATTAATTTGTAGGGTTTAGATTGTATATAGGTACACAGAATCATGCCTTCATATGCCTTAGTTAGGTTTTTTATGGCCTTGATAAAATGGTGTCACCAAACCCAACTTGGGAATAAAGGGTATATTTCACTCACAGTTCCACACAACAGTTCATTGACAGCAGGTAGGGAGGAACTCAAAACAGGGCAGGAAGCTGAAGGCAGGAGCTGATGCAGAGGCCATGGAGGGATGCTGCTTACTGGCTTGTTCCACCTGGCTTGCTCAGCCTGCATTCTTAGGACTCAGGACCACCAGTCCAGGGATAGCCACTCCCACCCTCAATGGGCTAGGTCTTCTAACATGAATCACTAATTAGGAAAATGCTCTATAGGCTTGCCTACAGCCGGATCTTACAGATCAGGCATTTTCTCAGTTGAGATTCCCTCCTTCAGATGACTACAACTTGTGTCATGTTGACATAAAACTAGCCAGTACAGCATATGTTTTAGTTAGTGTTCTACTGATATGAAGAGACACGATGACCAAGGCAACTCTTATAAAAGAATAAATTTAATTGGGAGCTTGCTTATAGTTTCAGAGGCTCTATCTTTGTCAGCATGATGGAGAATGTGGTAGCAGGCGGGCAGGCGGGCATAGTGTTAGAGAAACAGCTTAAGAATTTTACATCTTGATTCTCAAGCAGTAGTCAGAGAGTGATTCTGGGCCTGATGTGGGCCTTTGAAATCTCAAAGCCTACTCCTAGGGCCACACCTCCTCCAACAAGCCCACACCTCCTAATTCTACCCAACAGTCCAACTGGAAGCCAAGCACTCAGATACACTGGTCTATGGGAGCCATTCTCATTCAAACCACCACAGCATGTAAGACTACAAAATGTCTCCTCGTTAAAATAGAACAGTATTGTAGACAATCTGTGTTTTCAAGCGTTGGTAATGATGTGGTGTTAAGACATAAAGACAAACAGCATTGTACGGGTGTGAAAGAGCAGACTTTCATTTCCAGTCCTGTGACTTTGGGAAAAATTAACTTCTATTTGGGCTGTTTTCATTTTATTGTAGACACAATAAAAAGCTGTAGGATTAGACAAAACTGAAGGTCACTGAGTTCCTCTTCATTGTACATTATTAGTCAGAAACCTGAAGCCCATGAAAGTGATGAGATTTTTCCCCCCATAATCCTAATTTGCAACAATCTGAACTGAATCCCACCTCTGGGCTCCTTGTTCTGTGCTCACACCCACTGTGCTGACACCCTCCATAGCAGCTTAGTTAGTTGGGAAGCAGCCAGAACATCTCTGAGACTTAACTACTTCTCTGAAGTTGGCACAGGAAGGCTATCACTTTCTCAAATATTCCTGAAATTAAAGTAACATAGTCTGCCTGGTTGCATAAATAGAAGCAACGACCAGTTTTAAGAAAAAGTGACTATACAATTGTAGGAGGAGTTAAGGTGGAAGGAGTAAGGAGAGGAAGAGGAAAAGGAAGAGGAGGAGCTAGAGAGGGCAGCGATGTAGGAGGATGGAGAGCCACGCAGGTATGGAGAGCAGTCACAGGTAACAACTTTTATTTAGGTTAGCTAATTGGGAAACAACTCTTTTCGTATGGGTATATTGTTATTGAGCATTACCAAACATATAAAGCCTTTGGATAATCTAAGCATTAGAGTCTCATTTTCTAGTGGATACTGCGTAGGTGGCAGGAATTGTCCTCGGTTCAAGCTTTGTGGAGACAGCCTGGGAGATTGGCAGGACTGGTGTTTCTAGTTGGCCATTTCTAGCTGCAGCGTGCACGTGGCCTCCAGCCGAGAAACATGGCAACTGAGCTAGGCAGAGTTGCCGCAGCTTAGTCGGCTTGACCAGTCTCAGCTGAAACATAATTTCTCTTAAAAACCCACTGGAAAGGGGTAGAAAATCCTTTTCTTCAATGTATGTCTACAGTGTCAATTCTCTCTTGAGAGTATAATCTCACACCATTGACCCATTGCTGGCTGCCTGTAAACACTGTGAAAACATGAGTAACAACTTCTGCTTGCTCAGTACTGTAACCAAAGCCCCTACAAACTACTCAACAAGGTGTGAACATTAAGGCTTTGATTAATTAATCACTGGTCATCACACGATGACCCGACTTACGGTGATCCCACTGAATCAGTTGTTTCTGTCTCTGCTTTTCTATCAATGGGCTCTTGACTGCCAGTTCAGAGTCCAAAACACCAATGACCAAGCACTCACTCTCCCCTTTACCCCCTCATTATGATAAATAACAGGATGAACAGGCCAAGGATGAGTGGGCATGCGACATCAAGGATTGCCGCTGATGGAGATAATGAAGCAGTTGTCTGACAGAACATCTCTCTGACACTCTTTTCCAACATCAGCCTTGCGGTTCTGATGACTATTCACACAAGTTACAACAACTCTTTGATTAGTCCTACACAGAAGATCTCAAGTCAATCATCTCTTATTAATCTTTAAAGCAGCCCTGTAACTGTTCTACAATCAAGAAGCTGAAAGACAAACATTGCTAAGTACTTTGCTACAAAGTGGTGGCAGCCAGAGTTTCAACTCAAGTCGGCTGAGTTTACAGTCATGTTCTCAATCTTGGCACCAAACTCCCTCCATTAGAGAAATAAAACACCTTAGTGGTAGCACATGCATTTATTTAATCCCAGCACTAGAGAGGTAGAGAGAGGTAGGTGGATCTCTGTGAGTTCTAGACCAGCCTGGTCTACATAGTTCCAGGACAGCCAGAATTATATAGTGAGCACCTCCTTCAAAAATCCAAACTAAATAAGCAAATAAATAAAATATATGTAACAGGAAACAGAATAATTCACCGTGAAGTTATGGTAAACACTCACCCACAAAGGCTGCCATCTGGGCAGCTGTTCTTCCCACCGAGTTCACAACATCAGTCTCTGCACCCGCCTCCAGCATGGCCCATGTGATGTCTTTATTACCTAGAGTTACAGGAACCAAATCAGTGCAATGCACAATTGAAGCTTGCCTGCCTTCTCCTCTCTCTCCGGCCTCCTCACTGACTTTTAAGTTTCTATCATGTACAGTTTTATTTTTCCAAAAATATGAGTCATAACAATGGGCAAGAAAATAAAGTGTAGCAAGTCTATTTAGTCAATCTAACTTCCTAAAAAATCCATTTGGTAATGCAAACAAGGTATGGAAGTGAACATCACTTTGAACAGTGAAAGAGTATGTTTGCATAATGATAATGCTTAGTGTAACATCAAAACATACATTCGAAATTATCAAAAACAAAGACAAGAGAAAATGAACAGAAGCCCTCCCTTGAGCACCATTGACTTGTTCCTTCTCTCACACCTACAGACTCTGGGGTATTAAACTCTGGGCTCTTTCCGCATACTTCTATGTAAACATCTCTAGTTCGTTCTCAGTCTTCCAAATCATTATAGATGCTTTACTGATATTATCTCCACTGAGTGAGCAGCAATTTTGGTTCATTTTTGCAAGAATGAACCATGTTTTGTTTTTTTTTTTAAAGAACTTTTCCTAGAAAATGTAGATGAAGGTTGTGTGCTGTGTTTTGAATACATATTGCCAGGTCTTCATCCAGCAAGGGTAGACTGAACACATTCCACGAAACAGAGCAAAATTCCCAGGCACTATCACTTTAGCTGTTGCCAATAGAGTAAGTGCAAACATGATCGATCACAGGGGCTCCGATTTTGACCTCTTTGATTGATGCTGAAATCATTTTACATATTGATCAACTGGCTTTATTTCTTTTGTTCTCTGTTCAGTTATCTATTAAGGTATTTGCCTCTCTCTAGTTGATTTATAAGACCTCCTTAGAGGTAGCAATGAGACCAAGATACACAATACTTTTCTTCACTTTCATTTGTATTTTAAATCTATCTATATAGTATTCCATTTACGGCAATGTAAATGGGGGACATTTGGAGGGTAATGTAAAAACCTAGTGCACTGGAAATTCCCTGGAATCTATAGGGGCATCCCTAGCGAAGGTGCCTAGTAATGGTGGATATGGACCCTAAACCATATATTTTCTGTAACCAGGCAAGACTTTCAGTGGTGGGACTGGATCACCAACCCAGCTACAAAACCTTGGGCCTACAATTTGTTCTGACCGTAGGATGTGCTGAGGTAAACAGGGTGTAGAACCTGTGAAAATGGTCAACCAATGACTGGCTCAGCTTGAGACCCATGCCACAAGAGGGAGACTGCCTGGATGGATGGCTAGGAACCAGAGCCTGGAGAGGCCAGAGAACTAACATAGAATCAAATATGACTGGGAAAAAAAAATCAATGAAATGATTCCTAATAAATGATATTCTGCTCATAGAACAGAGCCTAATTTAATCATTATCAGAAAGGCTTCCTCTGGCAGCTGATGGGAGCAGATACAGAGACCCACAGACAAATATCAGGCAGAGCTCAGGGAATCCTACTGGAGGGGGTTGAGGACAACAGGAGAACATGGCCTATGGAATCAACTAAGCAAGGCTCAAAGAGACTCAGAGACTAAAGGGACAATCATGGACCTGCATGGGTCTATGCCAGGATGTCGTGGCTGTTTAGCTTGGTGTCATTAGGGGACTCCAAACAGTGGGAGTGGGGGGTGTCTCGTGACTTTTGCCTGTTCTTGGGATCCTTTACTGCTTTCTGGGTTGCCCATCGGGCCTTGACAGGAGGGTTTGTGCCTCGTCTTATTGTATCTCTTTATGCAGTGTTTAGTTGATATCCCTGGGAAGTTTGCTGTGTTCTGAAGGGAAATGGAGGAGACGTGGATCTGAGGAAGAGGGGGATAGACTGAAAGGAACAGTGAAGGGAAACTATGGTCAGGATGTATTGTATGAGTGAATAATAAAAATCTATGTAATTAAATCACTGATGTCTTCTTTGCTTAAAAAGAGTTGTTATTATTAATTATTATTATTATTATTATTTATGTGTGTGCCTAGAATCATGAGTGCAGGTACCCATGGAAGCAAAACGATACTGATCCTCTAGAACTTGAGTTACAGACAGTAGTGAGTCACATGATCCAGGTGCCAGGAACTAAACCCCAGTCCTCTGTAAGAGTAGTAGGCATTCTTTTTTTTTTTTTCTCTTTTTTGGGGGGTAGGGAGCTCCAAATGTATTTTATAAGATAATATGGCATTACTGCTCCATTTCTCAGAAAAAAAAATTCAAACTGCAAACATCAGGAACAAATCAAACACTGTAGTACAGCAATAAAAAAAAAAATGCACAGCTTAACTCCTCCAGATAGGTAAGGCTAAGGGCTATTGTCAGACCTTCAACACAGCAGCCCTGTGCCCAAGACTGTGCCAGGCCTAGCAAGAAAAGCTGCGAACAGCAACATCATAGATACAAAAGGTCATTCATTCTTGGATGGTCCTCATCCAAGAAAAAAGATGGAGGCAGACTGTTACCACAAGATGTTGTTAAAGCTATACTAAAATCAAAGTCTCTAAGAGAAATGGTCTTCCTCAGGACACGAAGGGGTCACATAGGAGCTGTAACAGAACTGTGTGTGTGCTGTAACCTCTGTGGACAGTTGTCTGAACTCTCCAGGAAGTAGATGGAGGAATAGGCTAAGGTCACTGCCGGATGTTTAGGTTTTGTGGTATATAAGTCTCTGGGGTCGAAGGGAATAAAGATGAAAAAGTAATTAAAACATGAAGAACAAAGAAAAAACAAACAAGAACCCCAAACCCAGGAATGATTAAGATTAATGAAGCTCCGAGTCCACTCTGTTGTGGTTCCTTGGGTGACTTCAGGAATCACCAGGCAGATGGACAAAGCACTATACCACAGACTTTGACTTGTTAAATACCACCCCCTCCCTTGCCCTCTGCCTCCAAGCTCGATTTCTACAGTAGTACAGGCAGAGAAGAACGACCTATTAGGAAGAACCCCTAACACTTTTCCAGGGTAGAATTCTGGCTAGTCTGAAAAGGGCCCTTCTTTTAAGGGTTGCAGGAAAATACACCCTGCAACTTTATTTAATATTGGCAGCTTTTGTTTGGAGCAAACTCAGCTCCATGAGCTGGATGGTTGAATGCAGGAGGAGTTACACCAGTTGCTCCAATTCCTTCCATTATATCGGCTTGGCCAAATTGTTGAATGGTTGGTGGGGTCAATCCCAGGGTTCCATCTAGCATCATAGTGCCAGGTTCCAGAGGAGCTGGGGTACCAGCTGGCACAGGTGCAGGGGAAATGGCGCCTCTACTGTTTATTCCCATAGCATCTCCCGTAGCCGTTTAGCCCATCCGTATCTCTTGTTCTCTTGCACCAGGGAAGGGTTCCCTTAATTCCTTCCTGCTGTATTTTTCACAGCGCCTGCATTCCTCCTGCCTGAGTTCTAGCTGCTTTCATTTCTGAACGTCTTGGTTATGCAGCTCCTCTATTCTCCGAAGCTCTTCTTGATGCCTCATCAAATCCTGCCTCATTAGCATAACGTGGTGTTCATGGCATGCTGTCCCCAGCTCCAGCTTCTCGAGCCTCCTTGATGTAGAGATCCACTTGACCCCCCGCTGCTGCTTCTCTATCTCAGGGAGCACCTTCCAGTGCATGGTATATTCATACTCAAACCCAGGCGGTGCACCCAGGGAGCTCTCACTCCTTGTGAAATTGCTGGGAAGTTTTATAACCAGCTTCTCTGGAAGTCCCTCCTCATCAAGTCCATTGGTCCACAGTCACAGGCGAAGGAAATGTGGGTAGCTTAAAGAAGACGTCATACTCTGTCCATAGCTTTCTGACCAGCTGACATCCCTGAGGGCCTTCCTTAGGCATCCACAGTGACTAGAGCCCTCCCCTCCTGGCCAAACACAAACAACTTCTTCAAGTGATTCTTTGGACACAAACTGAGGAAGATCGCGGGTAGTATGGATGCACTGTGATAAACAAAGCAAATTCCACAGAGTGGCATATTGTCTAGCTCCACTTTGGTAAATTCCACTCAGGTTCATGTTCCCGAGTGGATAAAGCCAACAAAGCCTTTGTCCTTATGAATGAAAACTTCACCTGCTTTTCTATATTTCTTAGAAACTTTCCTCATTTCCTCCTCAGTGACATCAGGGGAGGAAGGTTGTCCACAAAGAGATGGCTATGCCAGGTAAGGGTCTCTCCTGGCTTCCTAAAATTCTTCAGTTCAGTAGTCAAGCCTTCATTCTGACTGCTGGCCTGGTGTCTACTCACAGGTGTGGTGTGTATGTATGGGGGTGGGGGTGGGGGTGGGGGTGAGGGTGGGGGTGGGGGGGGTGGGGGGGAACGTCTGCTACTGCTGCTAATGTGGCAATGTTGATGCTTTCTTGGAGTATAGGTTTGCTTCTTCAAGTTAAAGGTGCTCTTGCTCTGCAGTTTTGCACCTCTTTGCCCACAGTTATTTGTTCAGACTAACAGCAATGCTGCATGGTCTCCACTGTCCCTAGTTATTCTTAACTGCTGAGCTATTGCTCCAGCCCCTAGGGTTTTTATTATTTATGGGTTCATTATCATATATACTACTTAGAAATGGTTTTGTGCCCCACAGTTTATATATAAGTGCCTTTAAAATCAGTATATCTCTATTTTCTGAAAGGCCTACAAACAGCTGGGCAGGTATCACACACCTTTAACCCCAGGTCTCAAGATCTCTGTGAGTTCCAGGCCAGCCTGGTCTACAGAGTTGAGTTCCAGGGCAGCCAAGGCTACATAGAGAAACCCTGTCTTGAAAAACAGAAACAAAGAAGGGAGGATGGGCAAGGAGAAATAGAGGGAGGGAAGGAGGGAAGGAGGGAAGGAGGGAAGGAGGGAAGGAGGGAAGGAGGGAAGGAGGGAGAGCGGGAACATCTCAGTAACATAAACTCTGTTTTATTGGGCATGATATTTTTAATGAGTTTATTCAGTAGACAGGCTTATAGCATGTAAGAGTACATTTCCACACGGATGATCCATCAAGCTAATGGCCAGCACTTTTAGGGCAGCTGTTTGATCAAATGAACAAAAAAAAAATGGTTTGGATTTCACTGAAATGTAACGATCTCGACTCAGAGAAGCCAATTTGAAAGAAGAAATCCATAGTGAACCAACTGATTTGAAGTCACTAAAGGAACAGGTCCCTGGACAGTTGAGTGGGTAAGGCACTTCCTGCCAAGGCTGAGGACTGGAGTTCAATCCCCACAGTCCACATGGGGGAAGGAGGACACTGACTCCTGCAAGTTGTTCTTTAACCTGCAGACCTGTGCTATGGTAGGCGCCCAAATCCCGCGAACCACAACAAACATGTTAAAAACAGAAACAAAACAGATCACTAGCTACATAACTTGTTTCAGACATTATAGCTTTTATTCTTTTTATTTTATTTATTTGCTTGCTTGTTTGTTTTAGTTTTTCAAGACAGGGTTTCTCTGTGTCATGGAACTCACTCTATAGACCAGGCTAGCCTCAAACTCAGAGCTCTACCTGCCTCTGCCTCCCGAGTGCTGGGATTAAAGGTGTGCACCACTGCTGCCCAGCTGTGTTATACCATCTCAGAAGTCAATTCTCACCACTGTTTTCTATTAAACTTCTAAAAATTACTAAAGACGTGCACTGAATTTAAAATATATGCATATTTAGATTGTGTAAGTAATTAACACCGATAAAGTAAATACTAAAACGTTACCAGAAAGTGCGGCAAACATGAGGGCTGTGTACCCATGCTCGTGCTGATGGCAGTTGACGTCAGCTCCGTGTCGCAGAAGTAATTTGCACATGTCAAGTTTTCCCTTATAGGCTGCATGCATTAAAGGAGTCATTCCATTCTTTAACAGAAAGGGGAAATACATTAGTTATGGACATTTCCATTTTTATAACTTATACACACAAAAATTAATAAAATCATGTTTAAAAATTTACAAAGTATTATTTCCTCTCTTAGATCTTACCTCAACTTCTGAGGAGAAAAAAAAAAACCACATTTTTTAAAAACAGATGAGCAAATAGAAAAGATAGGTTTAACCTCATAGACCATCAAACAAATAGAGCAAAGGTCAGAACCTAGACTGCCTAAGGTCCTTGTCTCGCCAACACGTGTGTCTCCTTAAGACACAAATGAACAAACAGGTATGCAAACAAAAGAAAACTAAAGATGAGAACCACACATTCAAGGCCTGCCTATGCTATAGCTAGGTAATTTAGTGAGACCCAATCCTAAAATAAAAATCTAAAACAGGGTTTAGAATGTAGCTTTGTGGTACAGTACTTGACTAACATGTGCAAGGCCCTAGGTCAACTTCCAGTACCAAACCAAAAGCAAGAATTCTGAAACCATCTGAACACTTAGATAAAGGAAACCTGAATGAGATGCAGTGGGTTCAGAATACACAATTATAAAGCTATTCAGTGGGTGAATACGGAGACAATGAGATGGCTCACTGGGGAAAAGTGCTTGCCACTACACCTGGCTTCATCAGTGTGATCACCAGGACTCAGTAGGAGAGAACCAACTTAAAAGCTGTTCTTTGAGCACATGTGCCCCCCCCCCACACACATACAGATATACACACAAACAAATAAGATGAAGATTTTAAAAAATTTTAGAGGGGATAAAGAGATGGCTCAGAGGTTAAGATTGCTAGCTGCTTCAGAGCATCTGAGCACACATCAGATACTCAAAACTGCTGAACTCTAGATACAGGAGGTGCAGTGCTTCCTTCTGACCTCTGTACACACACATATGCACACACACACACACACACATAAAAATAAATTTAAAAATCTTAATAAATACATCTATGTGTAGTGAATTATCAATTCTCAGATTACTGCCTTTGAGAAAAAGCAGATATGAGATATATTTACTGCTGTGACATCATATCTTAAAACCAAGATCCCCAAATCACACACATATTTAATTACACTATGATTTGATTACATATGATTACAAACATACTTGGCGATATTTAAGCTAGACTGAGTTGGTTAGCCTCCACATCTGTTTGTCTTTACCTAATGAAGTAATAATATTACAGCATATACACAGTTCTGTTATATCTCATATATGACCCCTTCATGTCCGAAGGAAGGCATTTTCTCTTAGAGATTTTCAGTTTAGTATATCTTTTTTTAAAAAAAAAATCTTGTAGTAACTTGTCTTCATCTTTCTCTTGGATAAGGACCACCCAAGAATGAATGACCTTTTGTATCTATAATGTTGCTGTTCGCAGCTTTTCTTGATAGGCCTGGTACAGTCCTGGGCACAGGGCTGCTGTGTTGAAGGTCTGACAATAGCCCTTAGCCTTACCTATCTGGAAGAGTTAAGCTACACATTTTTATTGCTATACTGTATTTGATTTGTTCCTGATAACTTCAGTTTGAAATTTATAATTAATAGGATATAGGATATACCATTCTATGGTTTTAAGTGACATTGTTTCAAAAATATAATCTAAAACAAAATTTACAAATTAAATAAAGCTTCAACATTTAATAAAAATATATAAGCAAAACTAGTTTGCTTGATTCATTTTATCTCAAAGAATTTTCTTTCAATGAAAAATACTGATATGTGACTTTAATCCTAGCAAAGGCAGAGGCAGAAAATTCTCTTATGAGTTTCACACCAGCCAGGGCTACATAGTGAGAACCTGTTTCAAAAAAAAGGAAAATTTCTTTCTGTTAATGAAATCGTAATATGACTTTATGGTGTGTGGTTTCAGTTTGAGATGGGTACTAGGACGGTTCAGCTCACAATCATAAACATTCTAGCACTAAATAAATGTAGTTCATTCATTGTTTTGATCATCCATTCTTGAGATGTCTTTAAGCAAGCAATTCCTTCAGTAGGTAATTTTAGCTTTTTATCAATTCTGTTAGATTTCTTGTCTTGCACTCAACAGGAAAGATTCTCCTTTCCCTCCCATGTCCCACTGCCTTTTCTTTCTACTTTGCCTTAAACCACCATCTTAGAGGGATGCTGACAACAGAATGGAGGCTGGGTCCTCTCGGGTGATTGTGTTAGTGGTTAATTAGTGGGAGTCATCAAAACTTCTTGGGACTAAGAAGAGGAAAATAAGGAGACTATACAATATAAGGTCTCTATTAATTGGGTGTTTACACAGTGAATATTTGTCCTGGGTTTGATCTTCTGTAGTAAAACAACAATAACTCGTACATATGTGCACCTGTATATGTGTACATGTGTGTGTACACACACATATACATGTACATGTGGATTTAAGTCATGAAGCTAAGCACGGAGCCATGAGAGGGGGAAGGTCCTTGAGGAAGAGGAGGGGGTAATAAAATATGTGAAAAAAAAATACTGGGAGTAAAAGAAGAGGAGAAAGACTAGGGTAAGATGATCAACCAAAACAAATGATGTTTAAAATGTTGAACGGAAACCAAATGTTTTATATGCAAATTAAAAAAAACACATAACAGCAGCCCTTCTTAAAGAGAGAGACTTCATGTAGGTTTCTATCTTTTCTGTTCTGTCCAGAACAGGAAGGCAATCCAGGAACCCTACCCTATAATGTGAGTTCATCCACAGAGAACAATACTGAAACCATGAAAGTTCATCTGCTGAGAATAATATTGAAACTGTACCACCATCTTGCCTTTAAAACAGAACCTCTCAATACAATGTGACAATCCGAAAAACCCAAAGAAGATGTGTAAAACCTTATATCTTATGCTGCAAATGGTGCTGTTCTTCTGCTTGGCTGTTAAGTCACTTCTGCCCATCTCCACTCCAGCCTCTCTTTATTTCCCATTCCTTCTCATTTTTAAAGTGTCATCTGTTGGGTTGTGGTGTGAGTGGGTCCTGTTGAGTTGATGTATGTTTCCCACCTCTGTCTCGCCATATGGCTAGGGCCTCTCATGGGGACAGAGGCGCTCAGGGCAGTTGCTCTCTTGGCTTGGGTGGCTGAGTTGATGGTCTCCATGAATGGGAACGCAGAGAGTTCTTAGATGAAGACCTGCTCCACTGTTCCCCATGGCAGGTCCCAAAGAAAAAAAATAGTCCATAGTTTTAAGACATTTATTGTCATGGTGGAAAAGAGATGAACCACTATACCCTGGTATTTTCAAGGCAGGCCTGAGGTTAAATACTTTTTGCAAGGAGGGTCTGGGAAAGAATGTTTAACTGACTGTGTCCTTTGGCCTTTAGGTATCTCATTAACACGGAGATCTGTCTTGAGGCTCAGCGGCCTGCAGTCACGCCCTCTAAGGGTCTAATGGGTGTGGTCCTACGTGACTGGACGACCTCTCTCTATGGAGGTCTTTGACCTTGTGTCAGGAGCCCAGAGTCTGGGAGTATGGGGAAATGCTTGCCATCCTTAGGATCACCTGGGGGTCTCCGGGGATTTCGAGCCAGTGCTCGACTAGAAACCTTGCTGTCCTTTCAAGGTCCTACAGTCATCTCTCTCTGTCTTTATTCTCTTGTTCTTTCTCTCTTAGCAGAAGCTACCTTAGCAAGATTGGATTTTAGGGGACTAGACCAGGAAAGCCTCTTTCCAAAAGCATAAAGAGAACTTTATGCTAGGTGTGTGGACCAGCTGTCTGTCACGCCCACATGGGATGTGTGCTTTGCTGGTATCATTATCCCAGGCTATTAGAATCCAAGAAAAGGGCCGGGCTGTAGTGGCGCACGCCTTTAATCCCAGCACTTGAGAGGCAGAGGCAGGTGGATTTCTGAGGCCAGCCTGGTCTACAGAGTGAGTTCCAGGAGAGCCAGGGCTATATAAAGAAGCCCTGTCTCAAAAAACCAAAACCAAAACCATAAACAAAACAAACAAACAAATAAACAAACAAACAAACAAAAAACCAGAATCCAAGAAAAGTTAAACTAGATCTTTGAAGCTCTGGATGTCCTTCCTACTATCTTGTCTCTTAATTCCACTTTGTATCACTCAAATGTGGGACAGTCCAAAGGGGAATTATGAATTCCCAAGGCAATGATTACCATGTATTATGCTGGTTCTACTCTTTCACTTCATGACTCATAAAAAAACCAGAAGTAATATTAACACACTACTACAGTGTGAGATAAAAGCTTCTTCATGAGCCTTTCTAGTTGTTTTCCTAGTACATCACTGTAAAACAATAATGACAACCCTCAAGAACAGGAGACGAATAACTCAAAACAGAACAGTTAGAACAGAACAGAACAAAACAAAACAGAATAGTATAACTTACATAATCTATTAGTATATCAAGGCAATATTTTCACATTTTGTAAAATATGATAAAGGCCAGCTCCAGGGCAGCCAGTGCTGCATAACAAGACCTTGTCTCAAAACCAAAATCAAACAAAAACCAACAACAAAAATTATTTGAAGGCAAACACCTTTAATTACATAACTGTATCCCAGAGCTTGAGAAACAAAAACAGGAGGACCAACAATTCAAAGGGTATCCTAGACTACATAGAATTAAGACCCTATCTCATAAGCAACAATAAAAAAAAAAGAAAGTAAAGAAGGAAGGTAAAAGAAAAAAGAAAGGAAAGAAAGAAAAAAGGAAAGAAAGAAAAAGATGAAGACGGGAAGGGAAAGGGAAGAAGAGGAGTCCTATAATTTGAGCTTAATCTGTGCTTATTTGGTTGCTCATAAGATCAACCAAATTTTCATTGTCTCTAATCTTGGTTTAAGTAGCATAACCTTAGTATAACAAAGGCTACAAAACAACTTCCATTGAAAAAATTTTATATTATCCATTTTGGAGTGTGTATACATGGTGTGTGTGTGTGTGTGCGTGTGCGTGTGTTCAGATGTGTGCAGATGCAAGTGTGCTTGCCTATGTAGAAGCCAGTTGATGTCAAGTGTCTTACTCTATTGCTTCCCACCTTATTTTTAAGCAGAGTCTCTTCATGAACTCTGGTGTTCACTGTCTTGGCTAGCCTGCCTGCTGGCCAGTGAGATCCAGAGTAGAATCAATCCCCTGATTCTACCACCCCCTTCCTGCACCCATGCTGGGATTACAGGTGTGGACCGCCATGGCTGGTTTTCACATCTGCACTGGCAATCTGAATTCAGATCCTCAGGCTCGCATGACAAGCATTTGACCTGCTGAGAAATGTCCCCAATGTCTAGGTTACTCATTCTCTCAGGAAGTAAAATGATATATTAGCTTTACCTCATCCAAGCAGTTGACGTGAACATTCTTACTAGACAGCAGTGTTCCAGCTTCTTGGACGGTACCTTTAAAAGAAAAGAAGAAAAGTAGTGAAATGTAAGGTCGTCTCTGTTGGGAATTGGTTCTAATGCTATCTTAATTCAGCTCCCAAAGCTGTTGCTCCAGACCTGAGGGTCCCTGCTCCACCACCCTCAGCTAGCTTTGAATGGTAATAAAGAACTTCCGTACAGCCAATGGCTGGGCAGGGAGATGGAGACTTTTAGATTGCAAGGCAAGAGACTGAGGGATAGAGAAAGGAGAGGAGAATCGTCGTGACTCAGAGGCAGAGAGATCAGATCTGAGAGCTGCAAGAGAGAAATCATCCAGCAATGTAGGTGGGAAGGGAAAGCAGCCCTATTAGGGGGGTGGGGGGCACCTGACCTGAAGGTAACAGCACAGCAAAGATAAAATATAAATTTAGAATGTATTAAGCCAGGAATACCAGAGGGGAGTGTTTGCTAGCCTAGGGGAAGTTTAGAAGTACCTAGCTATTGATCTAGTCAAGGTATTTCAAAAACTAGCTGGCGTGTGTGTGTGTGTGTGTGTGTGTGTGTGTGTGTATGCCTGGGCACGCGTGCGTCTTTCATTCATGAATCCAGAACTCTTGGGTGGGTGCATGAACACAAGCATACAACCCGCAGGAGCCAGAGTGGATGAACTAATTCGCTGTTACACATCTCTCCTAGAAATGGGGAGAAGTCTACTGATAAGGCAGTAAACTTTAAAGGGCTATCTGAAAAGCCAAGACTAGCTAGGCTGGGTTCTAAGACATAGAGCACACAGTCACAAGCATTCCTCCAGAGAAACAGTTTTATACAAACTAGCATAATTCCATCTTATTTTTACTTCCATTGACCTTAAATTATATTACCTTGGCCCCATTTTCCTTTTGGCAGTCATACCATAACCATTCGGCATAGGCGTTAATGCCAAAATAAATCCTAAAAGCCATCTAATCCAAATCACCATCCCAAACGGACAATCTCATCTGTGTAATGCTTGGAATTCAGGATGCAGTCAGTATCCTATCATTTATCAGCCCTGGGTCTTGTAACTGTTGGCATGTTTTAACCAAATGCTTGGTTTGTAAACTGATAGGTAAGACATACCTACAAAGTCTGGTAGTACGGAAAAGTACTCTCTGGTCAGTATTCAGTCTCTTGTGCTATGAGGGATCGCATTACAATTGAAAACTCAGTTCTCTGCAAAATTTGGAAGTGAGCTGCAAGTGGGTCAGGTTTGTGTGTGCAACATGACAGAAACCGGCTGAAGAAAAGAAGGTCAGTATTATCACCATTAGTTCACAACAGCCACAGGTTCTGCCAAACAACTTCTGGCTTGATTAGGAAGCAAACAATGAAAGTGAATGTCCTCAGAGTACCAGGAAGATAGATATGCCTCAAAACAAGATAAGAAACCTGAGAGAGAGGAAAAGTGGAGGGCAGACTTAAAGACGAGCATGTTCCTTTCACCCAATAGGATTTGAAGGAAAGTCCCTCAAAGCCTTCTCCCACCAGTGCAGGAGAAGCAATGATGTCGATGCCACTGGGTGTGTTGGGAAAATGTCAACAGAATGATCTACAGGCCCCTGCATCTATAAATACTGTGGGGTTTTTTTCTTTCTGCCAGTGAACTCCCTGTGAGGGGCATTGGTATCATTGGCTAAGTGGCTAAGGAAAAGGGGGAATTTCCTGTAGCACATGCCAGCCAGTCTGGCGTAACTGGGGAGTTCCAGGCACAGGACAGACCCTATCTCAAAAGAGGGAGACAATGTTTCTGATAATGACACCTAAGTCTGTCCTCTGACCTCCACCCAAATGAACACACACCTATATACCTACAATTACATACAGCTACACTTATACAGACACACACTGACATACACACAGGCACACACACAACGGGGAAGCTTTGGAGTATATAAGCAACTTCTACTTTCAACTTCAGCCATACTTCTGGCTTCTTATCAGGGCCTTTCTCAAACAACCTCAAGAAAATTTGGGAACAAAAAGTCCTTCATCCCATTTGTACTTGGAGAAGATGCTTCAGTAGAACCACATTCTCCACTGAGAGAGCTCATGGAAGTCATTTCCTTTCTGGCCAGAAGATGTTTATGGAGTCAAAGAAAAGTACAGAGACGGTGAGCAGATCAAAGCCTGCCACATGTTAAGGACAGGATGGGAATTACATTCATAAACATTTGGAGTGCATTAGAGAACAAGCCGTTAATTCTATGAAATGTTTTCCCAGAGGCCAACACCCTAAAAAGAAGGTTCTGGGCATGCTGTAAACCATAGGGTAGGGGATGTTTTCTCCTGCTTAGCTCTTACTTAGTAGTCCTAAGACTTTGTCTATGACACCAGAGGTACAGACAATCCCCTACCCCTGCCACCATACACACACATCAAGCCATTCTCCAGCAGACATCAATGAGATGTCTTCCTCAGGTCTGACAACTCATAGGACTCACGTTAACACCTACCTACCTCACATTTACCCATTAATTATAATGGGTAATTATAATGGGCACAGATCAGCAGTTCTCAACTGTGGGTCATGATCTGTTTGGGGGTCAGGGGGCAGGGTCAGACGATATCAGATATCCCGAATATCAGATATTTACATTATGAGTCATAGCAGTAGCAAAAGTTAGGCTATGGAGCAGCAACAAAAATAAATCTATGTCTCATCTCAATAAAAAATTAATATGCAAAATGAATAAGTAAATAAATTTATGGTTGGGATGACCACAACATGAGGAACTGTGTTAAAGGGTCACAGCTCTAAACAAACTCAGGGTGTTTAGTCTGCTCAGAAAGACTCTTACACACTAAGGTATTCGTGTAGCCCACAGTGTCTTCATTTTCAAAGAAAAATATACAGATATAAATTGCTATCATCACATATAAAACTTTAAAATATTTATAAGCAGATGATTAGAGGCTGGAAAGGCAATCCATTAGTTAAGAGTCCACACTGCTCTGGCAAAGGTCTGGAATTCACTTCCCATCACCCATTGGATCCACATGGCTCCCAGCCAACTATAACTTCAGCCTCCAGCGATCTGATACCCTCTGGCCTCCAAGAGTACCTGCATTTTCCAACAAAAATACACATACTCATAAAATCTTTTAAATGTATTTAAAGGTAGATATAGTTTAATAATATGATAATAACATAAAAACAAATATATTTATTGTTATATATTACATTATAATATATGTAATATATTGCATATATTATAAAAATAAATATAAAATATTAAAAATAAAAATAATAAAATAAAAATATTTTTAAATCTTTTCCCCTTTTTTTATTGGATATTTTATGTATTTTCATTTCAAATATTATCCTCTTTCCCTGTTACCCCTCCAGGAGCCCCCTCTCCCATGCCCCCTCCCCCTGCCTCTATGAGGGTACTCCCCCTCCCAACCACCCAATCCCACCTCACCGCCCTGGCATTACCCTACACTGGGGAATCGAGTCTTCTCAGGACCAAGGGCTTCTCCTCCTACTGATGCCAGACAATGCCATCCTCTGTTACATATGCGGCTGGAGCCATGGGTCCCTCCATGTATACTCTTGAGTTGGTGGTTTCGTCCTGGAAAGCTCTAGGGGGGTCTCGTTGGTTGATATTGTTGTTCTTCCTATGGGGTTGCAATTCCCTTCAGTTCCCTCAGTCCTTTCTCTAACTCCTCCATTGGGGACCCTGTGCTAAATCCAACGGTTGGCTGCAAGCATCTGCCTCCGTATTTGTCTGGCAGAGTCTCTCAGGAGACAGCTATATCAGGCTCCTGTCAGCATGCACTTCTTGGCATCCATCATAGTGTCTGGGTTTGTTGTCTCTATATGGCATGGATCCCCAGGTGGGGCAGTCTCTGGATGGTCTTTCCGTCAGTCTCTGCTCCACACTTTGTTCCTGTATTTCCCTTAGACAGGAGCCCTTCTGGGTTAAGAACTGGGAGATGAGTGAGTGGCCTCATCCCCAAACAGAGGCCTTGCCTAACCTCTGGATATGGTCTCTACAGGTTCTCTCTCCTCTTTGTTGGGCATTTCAGCTAATCTCATCCCTTTTGGGTCCTGGGAGCCTCTTGCTTTCCTGGCATCTGGGACTTGCTGGTGGCTAACCCTAGTTCCCCATCCCCCATTGCTATACACCTCTGTTCAAATTCCTGACCCTCTGTATATCATCCTAATCTCCTCTCACACCTGATCCTGCTCCATTTCCCCCCTCCCCCACCTCTCTTTCTCCCAAGTCCCCCCACCCATCCACTCTCGACCCCATGTGAGTATTTGGCTCCCCCTTCTAAGAAGGACTGAAGCGTCCACATTTTGGTCTTCCTTCTTCTTGAGCTTCATATGGTCTGTGAATTGTATCTTGGGTATTCCGAGCTTTGGGGCTAATATCCACTTATCATACCATGTGTGTTCTTTTGTAACTTGTTTGCCTCACTCATAATATTTTCTAGTTCCATCCATTTGCCTAAGAATTTCATGAAGTCATTGTTTTTAATAGCTGAGTAGTACTCTACTGTGTAAATGTACAACATTTTCTGTATTTTTTAAATCTTTTAAAAAATCTACTATATCTACTATAACTTGTGTTTTAAAATAGTAGATTTCTGCAAGGTTTCTAGAAGTTCTCACACTCCAGTTTCTTTCTCTATGAAGAGGAGATATTTGCCAAAAACACAGGCAGCAGAAGGTACTAGCTTACCTGGTCCTTGCAACAATGCTGGGGTAGGGACTACTATACCATTTCCCACCAGAGACCCTAACACAGAAAAAGTAACTTGCCAAAGTCCACACCACACGGAAATGGAGGTGGCAGTGTTTAAACTAGACTGACATGGTATCCTACTTAGCTTTCTATTGCTCAGATAAAAGAACATGCCGAAAAGCAACTTGGGGCGGATGTAACACTCCATCATGCAGGAAGTCATCTGGGCAGGAACTCCAGGCTGGTACCTGGAGGTAGGAACTAAAAGAGAGACCATGGAGGGGTGCTGCTCACTGGCTTGCTCCCCGTGGCTCAGCCTGCTTTCTTAAAGAATCCAGGACCAACTGTCCACCTGTGGCACTGTCCCAGGTAGGCAGGGGTCTCTCTTATCAAGCACTGATCCAGAAGATGCTATCACAGACTTGCCTTCAAGTAACTTATTGGAGATATTTTTTCAGTCGAGGCTTCTTTTCCTAGATGACTCTAGCTTGTGTCAAATTCACACACACACACACACACACACATACACACACACACACACACACACACGCACAACCTCTGACACATAGTTAATGACCATTCCACGATACTTCATACTACAATTCAGATAAAACAAAACAAACAAACACCCAACTTTAAGCTGTTCTAGATTAAGTGAATGAGGACATGCCAAATGTCCTCAAAACGGCATTTCAATGTTATCTCATCTTCTCCTGTCTCCCAGTATTTTCTGAGAGCAATAAAGGCTCAAACACCAGGATAAGACAAGAATGGATCACTAAGTAAATTCACCTTGTATCTTTATTCACAGGCTTGGGGGGATTAAACCAATGAAAACCAGCACCTGTGCATTCACAAACTGTGAGCATGAGGTGACCGAAGAAACACAAGTGATAAGCACACTTAGTCTGTTTGATACAACTTTAGAATGAGTCCTGTGTACATGTCCAAGTACATCCAAGAACCCATACCTCCCCTTTCACACACACATTTTTTTTTTCCAGCTGTCCAACTGGTTTTCACTTTCCAGTGAACGTGTGATAGTTCTGGCCTGGTTAAAACCAGGATTCCCGTTTCCTGGTGGATTATGCATTGAAATCTGTCCTCTCTTAATTTTGATTGGTACAATAGCCATGCAGCTGGGACTCCTGTCACTAAACTAAATCCTAGACCTACTAAAGAGAGAGAGAAACTAACCTAGAGACAAGACAGAAAGCCAGAACTCATTGACGGCCATGCAGTTCACAAAATAAAAATCCAACTCAGAGCTCTGAGATTTCCAGCAAATATCGATTACCCTGAGAATCTAGTCATGACTGATTTTGAAGTGAGATCAGTTCCTAGTCGCCTGTTGAGTTTAAAGCCGACATTGTTTACTCATACTCTTTAGACACACGGACATTCATCTGTGGTTCTAGATGAGTTTGGCTAAGTAGAAAACTGTAAACCCAGGAGCTCTGTTTAAAATGTCCAGCTTCTCTGTCATTCTAGGGCATATGTTTAACTTTTTTAATTTAAAGCATCCACATTAGTCATGCCCACAGGCCCCGCATCCTCATCTCAGCAAAGTGACAGTGCACGTGGTCACGCTGATGTCACCTGCCAGGTAACGGGAATGCAGCCCGGAACTCATCTGGGACATCCACACTCAGTGACTGGAGGGGGAAAACATGGCTTTTGGTTAGCTTCCCTCCTACAGGCTGCACAGAGGAGGTGGGACTCGAATCCACAAAGTGGAAAGGAAAGCACCAAGGAGCTCAACAAGATGGCTTGAAGTCTAACATCTGACCAAGGTCAGTCACGTCTTGCCCATGTCCTCGCCTTCCTGTGGGTTCCTGCGCCGGCTTGGGCTACAGGAAGCCAGCCACAGAAGGCCTGGATGCGGAAAGCTCACGGAGGAACGTGCAGACCGAGTTCTGTGCCCTTATAAAGAACCCCTGTTGCTGAAAGCTCCCTCCACCCGCAGCAGGGGCGGGGATCTGCAAGGATCCAGATCCTTAGGCCTCCGGAAGTCGAAAGGGCCCTTTATACACCCGCCTAAGAGCCTAGAACAACCAGGCCACTGTGGTCTCGACTGATTACGGTCAAAACATTCAAGAAGCTGGCAAGCATGCACACACATACACAGGCGCCCAGGGCCGCGTGTGACAGTCTAAGATATGTAGTGACAGTCGGTCGATTTCCAAAAAGCTGATTTAGAGGTCTAAGGTCGGCAACCTAGATCTGATCGCAGTGCTCTGCCTCCATCTCCCCGCCCCTGCAATCAGTCCCCAGCCAGAGACAGAAAGGCTTTTTCCGGAATGCAAGTTGCCCAAGGTCCTCCGGGCCTGAGGCGCGCTCCAGGCTCCTCAACGCCCTGCGACCAGGTGTGCAGCGCCCAGATACCAGCCCTGCACCCGTACCTTTCCCGATCACTTCCAGCAGTTCCTTTTCCTCCTGGGTCAGCTCGCCTTTCTTTATGTGACCCATGGTTCCCGCCAGCTTGACGCTTATTCTATTTCTTTGGAGAGGCTTCTAAAAACGAGAGACTTGTGTGCGTCGTGGAAGACCGCCACAGCAAGGCGACCCAAGGCTGAAGCAGCAGCCCAGTGAAGTGGCACACTCTCCAGGATCTCGCGGCTGGGGGCTGGCGGGTGCGGCGAGCTTGAGCGAGCCGGGCTGGCGCTCTCCACAAGTCCCGCCCCCGCGCCTCATTGGTCCGGACGGGAGGAGGAGCTGCAAGAGGCAGCAAGAGACTCCAATTGGAGCAACCTACGAGGTCCAAACCAAAGGAAGAAATTCTGAAGGAGGGTTCAATGCATCTTCTAGGTTTCCTATCCTCATGGTAGTCTATTAAGGGACACAGGGACACAGGTTCCCTTGAGTTCTACGCATAGAACTTCTCTGCCTGGTAGTGACTTTGGTAGGCACCTGCGGAGGCATTGGGATGCAGCTAGACCCGCTGCACTGCCCCTAAGAGTGTCGCTGTTCCGACGAGGGGCGGGGATGGGGCGGGGCCGGCGCGGGAGGCGGAGCTACGCCGGGTTCCGTGTGTCTGTGTCAATGTGTCTGTCCTTCACTCCTCCATTGTCTGCCTCAGCCGCCGCTGCCGCCACTGCTGCTGCAGGATCCGCCGCAGCCACCAGTCTCGCGCGTCGTCGCTCCCTCCTTGGACAGGTAAGAGGTGGCCAGGTGGGGCGGCACGAGCCTGAGGGTTGAGGGAGCCGCTACTGTCTCCGAGCCAAGGGCTCCCACTGGGCTGGAGCTGGCGTGGAGGAAGCATGTGCCACCTGGGGCGGTTGCCTTCCTCTTCGTAGGGGAGCTCCCTCGCCGCGCCATCATCCATGCACATACCGTGTATAAGTGACTCTCGAGCAAGTCCTAGATCTCGCTACATTTGGCTGCCCCAAGAGCTCCGGGGACCGCGGGCGGGCCGTGAGCTGGCCACGCGGTGAAAGTGGCGGGTGCACATGGTCTCGTGCGTGGCGATCCCCGGGGAGGCCCGCTACCGGGAGGTGAGGGGAACACCCCATGATCAGCGAGATTGGGAGAGGCTCGGAGAAGGTAATTTTCTTTTTGCAAACCTCGTTCTCCCCACTACTTGTCTGTCATCTCTTGGCCTCTGTGGAAGCCATGGAACCTGGACCTGTGGTGTTCGTTAAGCATATTTAGAAGCGATTTATTTAGAAGCGTTGGGGTGTGGGGTCTTTTTGCTCTGAAAGAGTTGCCTGTCTTTATAACTCAGGTTTGGGGATTTATGGAACTAGGGAGGGGAGGCCGGAGAGGGCGGGGATTAAATTGGTGTTGCTGTCTATATATAGCCTTAGATTAGCTTCTTAATCCAGCCTTCATTCAACTCCGGTTTGGATCCTGAAGCGTCCACCGTAGGTAGATAAGGGGTAAATAAAGTGTGTACCTTTCTGTGCCTCCGATGCAAGGTACACTTACGAAAATATGCAATCATTCCTCCAAGGTGCCTATCTGTCGCGTTCTACAGCGTCAATCACTGCTTCTTCAAAAATGACTGTTTAGTTTTACTGTTGTTTCTCGACAGACAAGTATTGATGATTCTGCGAAGACACAATTGTGCTAGGGAGAAATACTTGAATAATTATGTAGGTGGTTTTTATTAAGTATCCGCGGGACCACTCTTTCATTCCACGGTGCCAAAAATGATGTGAGATGCCTTTTCCCCTGGCCCTCTACTTCATTTTGCTCAAAGCGTGTACTAGCACTTCAGAGACCCAGGGATGATGGTCCTTGTCTCTTGTCTTTAACCAAAATCTTTTCTAAACTCCTGCTTACCCATCCCCCTACAGCACAGACAGACAGAGCTTCAGCTTGGGGAGGGAGGAGTAGATTCTCACATGAAAATGGTTGGTAATTATTCATCTCAATGCATAACAAAGAAACTTTTGTTTGCTGATGCTTTAAAGATGATGTAGCTGTTCAAACAAGCAGTGGGGCTTACGAGAGTGACCAGTGTTGTGTAACACGTAATGCTACTGCCACTGCAATTAATGTGCCAGAGGTAGCCACAGACCTAAGAAAACGCCTGAGAGTAACCTCACCATGTGACTACACATCATTTCAACAGATGCAGAGACAGAATTGGGTACTTAACTGCCAGGATTTCCATCTCTTGTGCCAAATCTGGGCCATGGTTACTTGAAGGTCACACCTGTTTGTCTCACTGGGATCGTCAGTCCCTTGTCCTATAGAAACATTGGGTTGTGTTTTAAGCACCTGGTGGGTATTCAGTCTTCTGAGTGCGTGGCTTTAATTTAGAGGTGACAATATTTAAGGACAAAGGAAGACATCCTCCTAGAAGTGCAAGTAAATCTTATGTTCAGTTTGAATTTTGGGACCAGATACCTAGTGGAGAGTGTTCAGAAGGGTTTCAATCCTAGCATAAATATTTAATGTCAAAGTTAGATGAGTTAATGAGCTTATTGAAATGTGTTCTCATTAAAAAACAAAAAAACTATTGATAATGAAATAACTATTCATTTTGACTATCTAATCTGTCCCAGATATTCTGCCAGATGCTGTGCATAGGATTATTTTAACCATTGTTACTATAGACCAGGAATTAGCCAGTATTATCTTCACTTATGAAAATATGAACAGAAACTAAAGGAAGTTAATTTGCCCACAACCCCACAGTTGGGAAGTATGGAATCTGGAATTAGATCCTTTCCGATTTGTCTGTAAAAACCTGGTATGGTATGGTGGTACACACCTTTAATCTCAGCATTCTGGAAGCAAAGGCAAGCAAATCTTTCCAGGCTAGACAGGGTTATGTTACATAGTAAAACCCTGTCTCAGAGATTAAAAATAAAATAAATTAAAACACACCCAAACTGAATGGGGGTAGGGGGAAGAAATAAAAAGGAAGAACATGACTATTTCTATCTGTTGAAAGTCCAACGTGGACATGACCCACAGCCATGTAAGAAGAGGACAGAGAAGGGAACCAGGTACATCAGCCAAGAGGGCAAAAGTTAAAAGAAACAGGTAACCAACATGGCTGGATTATATAGGGAAGAGCCTCTGAGGGAAGGGCAGCCCAGCCCTTGTGTGGAGAGTTCATGTAGATGGCAGGGTATACCAGTCAAACCCTGTAGCTGGGTAAGGACTGAGGGATGATGGGAGAACCTGGCCACTAGGTTGGCCTTGGTATGTCAAATAAGCACTTCAGCCATTTGTCCCAGAGTTCGAGACTTAACACAAACCTTTACTCTTGGTGCTAAGTGGGCATCCTACTGCCTAGCTATTTCAAAGATGTTTATGTGATTCAGCATGCCATAGGTACAAGCCTCCATCCCAGCTCTTTG